AGTTGCGTAAAAAGGCCATGAAACATCGAGCTCTAGTGCAAGGTACCCAACAGCACAGGTTTGAGATACTATGTCAAGATAAGGCAGGCAGGGGTATCTACCGCAAGAGAGTGAAGCAGGAGTATGTTCTCAAAGACGACGGCACATGTCATTGCTCTTGTGCAAAGCCGAAGCTGCTCCACAGGCCATGCACCCATGTCATTGCTGCCGCAGCGGAGTGTGGCATACCAGATACAGTATATGTGTCACAGTACTTCAGTAAGCAAGCAATATATCATACATGGAGCGGCGAGATTTATGGGTTCGGCATAGCTGGGGAGTTCACAGAGACTAACGATGAAGTACTCAATATTCCTGACCCATCGAAGCTCCGAGGCAAGGCTGGAAGGAGGAGGACTCGTCGCATCCGCAACGATATGGACGAGTCGGAGGCTGGCAGGGTGAAGCGTTGCAGCAAATGCGATGAACATGGGCACACCTACAAGCATTGTCCTAAAGACAAGGAGAAACCAAGTGCGGCGGAGGCAGGACTATCAGGATCAGCAGCAGATGGAGCTCGCCCTACGGGTGAAGGCACTACCTCCACTCGACCACGTCCTAGGCGTCGTCGTGCCACGTCTGGATACGTGGTGTAGTTCTTATGTTCTATGTCGGCATGTGGATTTGCTTGTAATTCGTTTCGAACTTATCGATGTGTTTATGTTTCGTCGTGTAATGTCAGACTTCGGCATGTCATGTCTTTAGGTCTCGTGATGTAACGTCGGACTAAGGCGCCTAACGTCTTTATGTATGCTGATGTATGTCGGACTTCGACACGTAATGTTATGTTATATTATTGAACTCTACATATATGTTAAATTGCACGTCATCGTTATGTACCATTAGTAACGTTTGCTATATTTAAATAGCCTGTACTCTTGTTGTACATAATTAACGCGTATGATTTTATTACTATTTCATAATTTTGCAAGTTATCTTTTGTTTTACATTACTATTTTTTGAATTGTTCTAACACGAAACACTATATTTTTCAGAGATAGCACGTCAGGATACACCTCAGTTGTTGGACCCGGCGATAGATCACCGACACCGGTCTCACCTTACTGCGGTGCAGGGGGCTCAGCTTGGGACGTTTCGGGCACGGACGTGCGGTGAGCTACTCACGGTTCACGACGCCGCGGTAGGCGAGGTGCCTCAGTGGAGCTGGGGTTCCGCGTTGTTGGCGGCTCTGTACCGTGCACTTTGTGAGTCTTGCACGAAGACGGATCCCAGCGCGACCTTTGGTGGGTGCCCTCTCTTTCTTTCTATCTGGGCAGCTGAGAGGATTGCGATCGGCCGCCCTGAGGTGGACCAGCACGCGTACGAGGAGTCACTGTACGAGGAGCGACCAGAGGTCGACTACCCTACGATGGGTACTCTGTGGTGCCGTCGTCAGGTACGTTGCATCGATCTTATCGTATTGTTAAGTTAATTGCTAAGTTCATTGTACATCACATCGATCGTCTCGTATTGCAGCGCCGATGGGCTCACGTCCAGGTTAGGCGGTCGTATCCTGAGTTTGTTATGGAGTTCGACCGCCTTCTGACGACTGACGTCGTGTGGGAGCCCTACAGTGCCGCGGCTACCCAGGCTCGTGCGCCGTTGGGTCTGTCCACACTCTGCACCAGGGACCAGGCGTACTGGATGACTACGGTTCCGATGGTCTTCGACATCTGCGTTGAGCCTCACGCCCCTTTCTGCGTGATGCGTCAGTTCGGCTTCCGTCAGCCCTTTCCAGTACCGTTTCCGACCACCGTCCCAGCTGCTGTTCACCGGTATGATCTTGCACTACGCTTTCCATTGTTGCATTAAAATCTGCCTGTTCACAATAATTTGTAACATCTGTCGTTTCACACTAATATTACACATTAATTCGCAGGTACTCGCGCAAGGGTCAGCAGTCAGCTGGCGACTGGCCCGCCAAGTTGGCGACTTTTGTTGAGGACTGGTTGCTCGCAACCGAGGAGGTCGTGGACCACGAGGGAGAGCCACACACTGAGGAGTCGTACCAGGCCTACCTACGCTGGTACCAGCCACGCACCCGTACTAGGGTCACCTTCGCTCCCTTGGAGCAGCAGCCCCACGTTGCGAGCACTAGAGACCTCTACGCCAGGCACCGCGACCAGGACTTCGCTTGTGTTGTGAGTACCCTGCATCGCACCATTCCTTTATGTTTTCATGTCTTTCTCTTCGTCAAATTTTACGAATATTTACGAACAAATTAACCATGCAGGTCGACGACATCAACCGGGTCGTCGTTGACGGTTCAACGACGATCCAACGTTTAGACGCGGGGATTCCGGTACCCGTATTGGAGCACCTGACGACGTACACGCGGATGGTGGAGTCGATGCGCTCGATTCTCCGAGTGCTCACCTGTCGTGCAGACGACGTTGCTCGGGCAGACGCAGCTGTACAGCGGCCACCCGTACCGACTGGTCTCCGTCCAGCTGCGCACGTTCCTAGGCCGACTCCCCTTCCGCACGGAGGTAAGTATTTTTATTACTACTTCTGTACATGCCTCGCACATATAAGTGAGCCGTTTCACTTGCCGATTGCTTCAGGGTTTCGTGCACCGTTCAGCACCCCGCCTTCCTCGGCTAGGCCTTCTGTTGTGCCCCCCACAGGTACTTAAAAAAACAACATTACTTCCACAATCAATTTACATACATTTTATATCTTAGCTTACAAGGGTCCCGTTGTCAATGTGTAGGTTTCGCCCAGTTCGCTATGACGCAGGCCACCCACTTCTCCCAGGCTGCAGGGTCAGCGTCACAGGCAGCCGGCACGTCCAGTCAGGGTCCACCACTGGACCATGCTGGGACCTCGTTGGACCCCTTCCTGTCTTCCACCGTGCTCTTCGACATCACTGACTTCGACTTCGCTTCAGGCTCGACAGAGGACGTCATCGGCTCTTCACAGCTGGGAGGCGCACCGCCGGTGCAGACGCAGGACCAGGCGCAGGCCACTCCTCTGCGGGACACTCGTGCTACCCGTGCTGTGCCACCGGATCGTTTCACCTACTCCCAGGACCACGTGCGAGCACAGGCCCGGAGGACCAAGCGTGGTCGCGGCGCGGGGCAGGGCCAGTAGAGCAGTCTTCTTTTTGTTTACTTGCTTCACTTTCCAGTACTGTATGCTTGTGTAATGACTACGTTGTTGTTATATGTGCACGATACCTTTCGGCGCATGCACGATACCTTTCGGCGCATGCACGACTACTTTCTGCCGCACCGATGCAGCCTCCTTTATTCGCGTGTGATACGAGTATTTGCCCGCCATTTGGCACATACGACCAATGTAACTTTCGGCGCCGATCATGCATGTATCTTTCGGCGCCAATCAGGCGTACCCACCATACCCCACCACGTTCACATGTCAAGGGTATCACTCGATTTTTTGCGTCTATATAAGTCGCCTTAACGAGTGAGGCCTCACAATCTTTCAGAACTCAGTCACATTCAGTACTCTCTTCCCCACTTGCTTCATTACAAATCCGACCAGCTTTCGTCAATGGCTAGACGCCGGGGTGTTGAGGATCCAAACTGGCGTAGCGATTCTTGTGTATACCTACTACCACCTTGGTGCCAGCGTCCTCTCTGCCTATGCGGTGATCGATGCTAACTAATGGCTTCGAGGAATCCTGATATTCGAGGAAGGCGCTTTTTTAGGTGCCCTAACTATGACCGTGAGGTATTTTATTATCTGCATATGCTTATTCATTCCGTATGGGCAATCGCTTTATTCTTCGTAACACTACTCTATTCGGCAGACCCGCACTACGGCTTGCGCATACATCGAGTGGGTCGATACAGAAAATCCCGTTCTTGACCTAACCACTTGTTTACAAGAAGGTCGCTGGTATTTCGCATCCGAAAGTACTGAGCAATACTTACAGAGAAAAGCGGCTTATGAACGACAATGTCGTGAACAACAGAGCGACTGGCGGGTGCTAACTACGGCACTCCCTCCATGGGATGCCCGTCCAAGATGCAGGTGTGGTGATCGTTGTCAGGTTCTTCGTTCCATAAATCCTACAACATTGGGTCGAAGGTTCTTTGTTTGTCCAAATATTCTTGACGACGATTTCATGGTAAGAATATTTTGATTACATGATTCCTTATTTTCTCACAACATTTACTAACTTTGCTTGCTTTACATCTATTCTTTCCTCCCAGGAACCACCAAGGAGATGTCAATACAGAGAATGGATAGACACCAGAAGGGTTCTAACTCCACCTAGCCGTGTTGTGCAGCTTGAACTACCAGAGCAATACAGGGTTACTAAAGCGCGGTTTGAGAGAGGAGAGGGATCCTCACGTAGGGGTTAGCTATTATCGGACAACTTGGCATATTGAAATTTCTACTGTCATGTTTCCTTGTCCCATTACTACATCGTCGTTGTGTTCAACTATTGCACTACCTCCCTCCTAGTTCGAATCTAATATCATCTATGTAACCGCAATGCAAATAGTTGTATCATGTTCAAATTGTACTACTATTTCTTCATGTTACATAATTCTCCTTGTTTAAGTCCATATAATGTTTCTACGACCTAGACTGCGATAGGCCTATATAAATTATCCGAGTACTAATACGTCGAATAAGGTACAAAATATTATCTCACTTAACATATGAAATTGCGCAACAACCAACTTCAATACATTTTTATAACAATATTAACAAGTTTTACCAATAAATACTTCTTTATTTATTATTAACATTACATAGAAAAATCTTTTGGCCGTACTTTTTCATCTGGGTCCCTTGCCGCCCTCTATTGGGGCGGCAAGGGACCCAGATGAAAAAGTACGGCCGCAAGCTCTGAATGGGCGGCCAAAATTGCAATTAGCCCCTTGCTCACATTTTGGCGGCAGGGGCTATTTCTGCAACTTTTTTGGTCGATAGATTATTTCTGTAAATATTAAAAAAAAAATCTAAAAACGAAAAAAATTCGTATGCGCACGATCCTCCTCTCTTCTATCAAATCCTCCAGCCTGAAACCCCCCTAATCCCCTCCCGCGCGCGAAAGCAAAACCCTAGCAATCTTGATCCGTCCCTTTCCGCGAGACCCTTCCGCCGCCATGGCCGCTGCCGACGCCGTGGCACCCGACGACGGCGATCACGCCGTCCTCCGCGACGACGAGCGCGGGATCCCTCGATCCCTATCCCTCCTCGCCGCGCTCGTGGAGGCCGAAGCCCTCCGCCACGCCGCCGCCGCCGCCGCCGACGCCGACGCCGACTCCGACCGCATCCGCGCCTTCCGCGGCGGCGCGACGCCCACCGTCCGGATCGGTGAGTTCCTGGAGCGCATCCACACCTTCATCCAGCGGGAGAGCGTCCGCCACGTGATCGAGCTCCAGGGCGCGTGCTACGTGCTCGCCGGGATCTACCTGTTCCGGTTCATACGCAGCGGCGCCGCGCGGGAGGCGGGGATCCTCGTCGATCCTTCCATCGCGCACCGCCTCGTCGCCGTCGCGATCTTCGTGGGCGCCAAGTTCGGTGGGCCCATCGACAGGCTCCCGACGAGGTGAACCGTGGTGTTCGAGACCAGCTCGGACGCCGCGATCTGTGCCAGGGAGATGGCCGGCCTCGAACGGCGCTTCCTCATTGTCGTCGATTACCGCCTGTTCGTCAGTGCTGACGAGTTCGACTGGTTCTGCCGTGTCCTGGAGCGAGGGCCGCGTCCAAGCGGGAGATGCGGCGGCGGCGGTGGTGGTAGGAAGAGGACGGCGGCAGAAGCTGTGGAGGGAGAAGCGGAGGACGACCGCCGCCGCGTCTGGGCCTCCTTGCCGCCGCCATCAGTTGTCGCCAACTAGGTCCACGATTTCTGCATCCACTGGTTCAATTATTTACATAATGTATTTTCTTTTGCTGCTTGTTGTCTACGAGTTGTTTGCAGGTGGCAAGGGTGGAGAAGATGCAGTTGGCGTTGGAAGAGTTCGATCAGACGAGGCAAGGGTGGAGAAGATGCAGCCGGCGTTGGAAGAGTTCGATCAGCGGCCATGAGTAGAGTGAAAAAAACACCAGTTTTACTCATAGGATGTTTAGCAACTGTTAGCTCTGTCAAATTATCAATCCCTGTCTTGAATTTCCATCTTATTGGAAGTAGATAAAGAAATGTTAATGATGTCCTTTTTTCTATCTTTCTGTTGTATGAAATCTATATCAATCTGGAAAATAATAAAGAAGTCTTTTCCAACCTTTGTGGTGTACGAAATCTGTATCAATCCGGAAGTTAATGAAGAAGTATTTTTCTGCCTTTCTGGTGTATGAAATATGTGTCGATCTGGATTCTGAAATGGAATCCTCTTGTGTATGAAATTTGTATCGATCTGACACTGGAATGGAAACCTCTCTTGCTGTGGCTTTGCGATGTGTTTGATGGAGCCTCTTGAGAATGAAACTCTTCTTTTGTCATCACAAAAAAGTTCTGATGATGCTTATTCCTCTTTACTGGTTGATGCCTGAAGCTATGATGAAGCACCGGCGTTGTCTAGTTTTGAATCTCCAGATAGCATTGATGAGGCTCTCAGCTGTTTGATCTATCTGTCGGCAGGCTAGTGTCCTGAAGATAGCAAGATATCAGCACTGAACATTGTGCTCTGTAGCAGTCTGTAGTGTTAGACTGGCAATGCAGAAGCGAGACATAGTATAGTTTTGTCCTGGAATGGCCGGTTGATTAGTTGAATTACATGTAATTAAGCGTATGTAAAACATGATTTATTATCTGAGATTGCTGTTGATTGGTTGGATTCAATGTAACTGACACTATTGTAAGCTTATATTATCTGTACCGACTGCTCATAAACACTGTTACACTGAAATCTTATATTCCTGTTCAACGAAATATATTCCCTATTTAATTCATTGCTTTGTCAAACTTCTTGAGTCGTACATATTCAATGAAAATTTTCCTTTCGTTCAATGAAGTGCTAACTCTATATGATTGGAAAGTCACAAATATCCTAAAACTAATCCCAAGAGAACAGAGTACAGTTGTTAATACTTACACTATTCTGAAGCAAACAGTTAGTTCAGTGGCCCATTGTCCTGACAGTGATAGCACAACATTGTGCTACTTGAATTGAAAATAAAGAACTCTAGCATGTTTTGCTCCTTCAGGTTTACTCAGCATGGATATAACTCTTCAAGAATTGACGACAGGCTCTAAACAGAACACTTTCAGGTTTACAACTACAATGTTCCCTCAACCCATACAAAATATTTCTGAACTTCTCTGAATTCTGAATTTCTGACGGATGAATATTTCCATTTCTGAACAATGGGTCCTCCTGACAAGGGTAAAACAAAGAAAACTGCTGACAATGTTGAGAACAAGAAAACCTATTCTCAAACACAACATCTGGAAATATTTTTGAAATTGAACGAACACACTCTCAACATCAAATCTGTATATTCTTGAAGAGATATTCCCAAAAAAAAAATCATCAAATATACTCTGTTATTTGTTCTTCCCCTTCAGTTCCCCTGTTTTTAGAAGTAAACAATACCCTGCTTTCCTCCATTTAGTTAACCCAATGTCCCTCAGGTAAATCCTTCAGAAGTCCAAGACATGGGGAAAATGCCAAAATCCTTCAAAAAATGAAAAATTCAGGGATTTGCACCTGGAGGCTGCACATAGTTTTAGAATCATCAATTCACCATGAGCAGTAAAAATACATAGCATGAGCAATAGAGCGATAGCTCAAATTTTTGGAATTTGGAACTAAATCGAAACAAGTGCCAAATTCGAAGTCAATAACGTTAAACGACCCTCAACCGTTGCTCCTGCGGGAGGAAGAGCGCGTGCAGACAACGCTGACTCGCGCTGACGTCACCGCCTTCTATAAGTTCAAATCCCGCCTCGCTCAGACGATCCACACGCACGCTTCCTCTCCTCATCTGATCATCTCCTCTCACCCACGCGCCCACGCTTTCTCTCCACCAAAACCCTAGAAATCCTCAGGCGATCCGGTGGCGATGGCGGCGGCTGCGGCTGGCGCGGATGGGCTCCTCCCGGGCCTCAAGCTCGATCCCAGCGACGACGAGCTCGTCGGCCGCTGCCTGCTCCGGCGCCTCCAGGGCCAGCCCCTCCCGCTCGGCGGCGACATCCTCGAGGCGGATCCCCTGAGCGCGCCGCCGCCGTGGAATCTTCTCGCGGATCACGGCCGCGGCGACGAGGCCTTCTTCTTGGCCAAGAAGGGGAACGGAAAGCGGCAGAGGAGCAGTGTCGAGGGGCAGAGGATGTGCGTGGACGGCGGGAGGCTCCGGGTCCCTGATGACGGTCGCGGCGGCGGCGGTGGTTTGGCTTTCTTGCCGTCGATCTTTCCTTCGCCACCACCGGTTCCCCGCTGCTCCACTCCGCTGTCCCCGTCCTCGCCGCCATTTAAGCCGAGCCGGGTGATCGTCAGATGGTGGGCGCCGCCGGGGGGGTGGTGCAAACTCAACTTTGATGGCAGCGTGTATGACGACGGATCCCGGCGAGCGAGCATCGGCGGCGTGATCCGCGGCTGCGACGGTGGCGTGGTGCTCGCCTTCGCGGAGATCACGGAGCACTGGACGGTTGGCGTGGTGGAGGCCCGTGCGATGATCCGGGGGCTGAGGCTCGCGCTGGCGTGCTTCGTCGAGCGGCTTGTCGTCGAGGGCGACGACCTGGTGCTGGTTCAGCTCATCCGCGGCGAGGAGACGCAGACGAGGATCCCGGCGGCGATGCACGAGGAAATCCTGGACCTGCTCCGCTGCTTCGCGGACGTCGAGGTGCGACACATATATCGGGAGGGCAACTCGATGGCCCACACCCTGTGTCGCCAGGCGTACGTGCATCCCGGGCTGTGGACAGATTGCGCCACGCTGCCGGCCGCCGTCTGGGAGAAGATCGACGATGATCTGCGCGGGGTGGTGCACGAGCGCCTCTGCAACAAGAAGAAGAAATCCAGCGCTTGAACAGCAACAAGCAACGGCATGGGAGTCCAAGTCTCTAATCAAAGTCGAAGACTTTTCCCATCTCTGTGATTTGTAGATAGATAATTAGATTTGTAGTTGTACGTTTAGTGTAGTACTGTAGTTGCAGCTGTAAAGCTAATTATTCATTGTAGAATAGAAATTAATCATTATTCATTAGTTACATTGTTGTATTTAATCATTGATTTTGCAATAATAAAATAATCAACTTTTTTTTATGTCTGATCTCTTCCTTGTTGTGTTGTGATTTGTGCGTGTGATTGCGAGCTTGTGGCCGTCGTCGATGCGGTGGTGTTGTCAGGTGAGAGCAATTGGGGGATTGGAGCAAAGATGCACGGTTGGAGAGGAAGCCAAGTGCTGGGCGGCTGGGCGCCATGGATGGCAAGGTTGCTGTTCAACTTCAATGAATATATTCCTTATTCAGTTCATTGATTTGTCACACTTCTTTAGTGGTGCACTTTTAATGAAGCTCATTGATTTGTCACACTACTTCAAGATTTGGCAACAGGCTCCAGACTGAGCAATTTCAGATTCACCATGAGCAATGCTTATGACAATGCACCATTGTTACTGAATTATTGACTGAAAGTGATAACATGCAACAGCTCATCATCAGTTATCACTCAACACAAAAGAACTTTGACCTCAGTGGATGGGATGGCACATGCATGATACAAGCTTAGAGAACATAGAACAACCCATTTCACATCATGTCCTGTTACTTGCACTGTATAACATGACTGCCACTGCCCACTGGCACCCTGGCACTTTTCTTGCATCAAATTACAGAAACCGACATGCCAGCTGATACAAAATAGCTGCTGTTCCCCTAATTTATGTCAGGTACCACCGTATCAGGATGTATACTGACAATTACATCTTACATATTTTACTGAAGGTTGTACAAAACAAAAAATGCTATCCCCAAGACTTTACAACCACCTTTTGCAGGCTCCAATATAACAAGAGACAGATTCCTGCACAGCCGATTAACAATATGATTCCTTTGCATCTGATTAAATGCAATCTGAAGCGAGCAGCAAAATATTACACCACGCCACAATTTTCTAAAAACTCAGTAGGCTTCTTGTGTACAGGCCATCTCCAGCAAGATGTGTCATCTCCACTTCTGCAAATGGATCATCTCCAGTCCAGCAAGATGTGTCATCTCCAGCGCCCAACGGTGGCTTTACACCGTACTGGAGTACACTCTCCCGTCTGGCCTGTTTCTTTACTCTCTACTTTCTTGTCAGCGGCACTTGTGTCGAGTAACTTACAACAAGTTTGATCTGATCATCTTCTGCAAACTGAAGTACTATCTACAATTAAACAAGCATAAACGCAAATTAAGGGTAACAAAGTAAACTAAAAAGATAATTATTAGTATCTGAACAACCTGAACATCTCAGGCAGAAGAACCGGTACCCACACTAATTCAATTCACTAATAAAACTGAGGCATTACCGTCATGGCCTCATCCCTCATGGGATGGCCATGTAACTCATCTTGCTCGCTTTGTGTATCATGGAGAATGAGACTATGACTCACTTAGCCAAACAGTGTCAATTCTTCATTCATACATGGCAAATTGTCTTCCACAATCTGTCCAAAAAAGATTGGTAGTATGCATTGTGAGAGGGACAGTGCAAAGAAGATAGAAGACTATTCCATGGATACCTAAATTGGGTCCTGATAGAATGTATCTAAGGAAAGTGATCATATATAGTTCTATGTATGCTTCTTTCTATTCTTCTTAATTGAATAGGAAGAGCTCCTGCCATTTTTTATCTTTGCAAAAAAAAAAAACAGTCATGGCTTCCAAAATGATCAGTAGTTCAGTACCAGTTGGCATCAGCAGAATAATCAATATTGAAGTAATTTAAACATTACCAAATTCAAGTATTCAGCAGAGAGAAAAAGGATTATGTTATATATGAGATATTACCGAATTTAACATTACGTGTGCACAATCTAGTAACGCCAGGTTCTCCCATTTTAAGCTGAAATGGAAGGGGAGTAACAGGGAGAGGGTTTCGGGATTGGGGGAGTTGCCCGACAACCAGCCAGAGACCTTGGAGAGGAGTGTACAATTGGAGGCCTGCTTCGATTCAGTGCTGGTTCCTGGATCATATATGTGCAGTATTGGAGTCCTGTAGATCCTAGCCAGATGAGATGACCATGCTTCCAACATCTAATTCCAGTAAAAAAAAAATGGCTATACATTGTACTGGGCTGACTGCAGTGTTCCTCGTATCCCTTGCTTAGCAGCACTTGTGCCAAGTGACTTGCATCAAGTTTATTCTCCTCATCTTTTGCAAACTGAACTTCAGATGACATGATAGCTGCTACCTGAGGAAATTGAACATCAGATGCAGAAGATGCCACACACTAATAGCTTAATTCAATGACAAAACTAAGGCATTATTACAGCTATGGTATTCCAACATCGTCAGTAGCAGTACCAACTAGCACAAGCAGATCAGTCAGTACAATTTAGCGGAAAGAGAGAAAAGGGATTATGCATGGGAATATCTAAGGAGGTGCAGCACAATCGAGCAAGGCCCCAAGGGAAATAAGCTCAGGTCGAAGGAAAGGCTACCTTGCGGCCGGAGAGAGCCAGGGTTGGGGGCATTGCTCGACAGCGCCGCCATGGCTTTTCGAGCTCCTATTTCTCGGTCACAAATAGATCGAACTGCTCGTCGCCCGAGACCTCGGAGACGATTGCGCTAACAATGGAGGTCCGCTTCCACTCCCTGCTCGACCCCACGACGGCGACGAAACGCACCATCCCCCGCCGCTGCTAGGTCCATCGATGGCGGGGCGGCGCCGCCGACGACGGCGCCGCAAGGAGCGCAAGTGGGGAGTGGATGTGTGTTGGTGGATTCCTATTTTTTTTAATGGGCTTCCATGCATCGGAGGCAGGCTGAGATTTTGTTAGATGGGCGAAGATCAATCGGATTTATGCCGTCACTGTAAGGCCCATCGACTCCTCGGCGTTGGCGACCTCCACGTGCCGCGGCCTCGCCGACGGCAAAGCAATCGGCCAGTTTTTCAGTTCTGATACTTCCGGTTTTTCAGGTCCCTCGCTATTTGTCAACATCGACAAAAGTTTTCATGAAAAAATTGTAACCTGTCTATTTGAAATTTCGTGTTTGTCATACATAGTTGCTTCATTACATTAACATAATTTCAAGTGTTTACAGTATCATCACATTTAATCAGAAGTAAACTCTGTTCATAATTTTTTAATCTTGCGCCAAAAATGTAAGAGGCAAATGATTAATAGCAGTGATTACTGAAAAGAACTATTCCAGGCAGAACTCCAGCAGCACGATCTCTATCTCTATGGCATCTCTTCCTTGTCCTCTCGGACGTCAGATGTCTTTGAAGTTAAATTGCTGAACTGGTACAATGCTTGCAGACTTCACTCTGTTACAAGAATGTTGTGTACTTTTCTGAATTCTGGTGACTCTGAATGGTTTCCATTTCTGAACTTTGGGGCCTGACAATGCTATAACACCATAAGGCTGCTGACAAGGTTGAGAACAAGAGAAAATATTATTATCAAAACACAAAATCTTGAAACATTTCGAAATTGATTAAACACACGCTCAACATGACAACATCAAATCTATATGTTCTCGGAGAGGTACTCTGTTTCATTAAAATCGTGTTACTCTGTTTTTTCACCTTCATCTTCATGGTTTTCAGAAGTAAACAATACTCTGTTTTCCTTCCTTAGTTACCCCTGTGTTCCTCAGCTTTATTCCTCTTCTGAAGAATCAGAAGAACATGACATTTGTAAAATCCTTCAGAAGTTCAAGAATTGGCAATTGGAGGCTGCGGAGAGCATTTTTCACCTTTCAGAAATCAGAATCATCATTGCCAATAAGAATCATGAACGATAATTCAATTTTTGAAACTATTCTCGAAACACCATAAGGTTTCTACCTTAGTTTTGAAGTCCAATATTGATTTTGCCCCTACATTTTAGGGTTTTCGTTTTTGCCCCCACGTTTTTAAACCGAAAGAGCCGTTTGCCCCTGGTTTAGACGGAAGTGAGTGGGACTGGACTTATGGTATTAAATAAATAGAGAAAGAAAAGAAAATATCTAATAGGGGAAACTATTCCAGCCTCTCACGAAAACCCCATCCAGCGGCATCGGGTAGCGCAGCAGGCGGTGATGAGCGGGCGTCGGCGGGTGGCGGTGAGCAGGCATCAGCAGGTGGCGCCTCGGCGCAGACCCCTCCTGCCCTGCATGGGGAGAGGGCGTGGCGGCGTGGGTGAGGAGGCTTGGAGGCGACGATGGGGAGGGGGTTAGGTGGCGGCTGAGAGGAGGCTTGAAGGTGGTGGCGGGCAGGGAGCTTGGAGGCGGCAGCAGCGACTCTGCGAGAGTGAAGAGGCGACGACGACATCCCAGTCAGGCGGCAGTAGCTCAGCACGGAGAGGAGGCGACGGCGGCAGCCCAGCCAGCGGGTGACGACGGTGGCAGCTCGACGCTGGGAGGAGGCGGCGGTGGCGACTCGGCATGGGGAGGAGGTGACGGTGGCGGCCCGGCCAGGGGGCGACGGCGGCAGCTCAACGTGGGGAGGAGGCGGCGGTGGCAACTCAACTTGGAGAGGAATCGATGGCGGTGGCCCGGCCAGGGTTGACGGCAGCAACGGCCCACTGGCCCGGCCAGGAGGCAGCGACGACTTGTAGCTTGCTATATAACCCTTCTTTTTTTTCGCCAAATTTTGTCATTTTTTGTTCGACATTTATCTAGATTTATCACATTTGTGTGTCAAATTTTGAAACAATATTTTTTGATATTATTCAAAATTGTTATATTTGTAAAAGTTTTTGATTTACGAAAATTGCAAGATGCAGCTATAGGGTAAATATAGAACTAATGAAAAAAAGGGGGAACATGTGCAACAACACACTGATAGTATGGATGTCTTTTTTTCAAAGATTTAACACCGTTAACATGCCCATTTAAAGTAGGGGTAAAACTTAGTTTCGTTTCAAAACAAATAAACTGGGGCAAAAACGAAAACCCTAAAGAATAAGGGCAAAACCAATATTAGCCATAAAAGTAGAGGTAAGAACGAAATTGCCCCTATTTAAAGTGTTAACAGCATAATCACATTTAACAAGAAGTAAATTCTATTCATAATTATAATCTTGCGCCTAAAAAGTAAAAGACAAATGATTAATAACAGTGATTACTGAAAAGAACTCCAGCCGCACGATCTCTATGGTCTTCCTTGTCCCCTCGGCCGTAAGATGTCCTACAAGTGAAATTACTCAACCAATACAATGCCTGCAGACTTCACTCTGTTACAAAAAAAATTTCTGAACTTCTCTGAATCCTGATGACTCCTAATGTTTTCCATTTCTAAACTTTGGGTCCTGACAAGTGTAAAACACCAGAAGGATGCTGACAATGTTGAGAAAAGGAAGCTATTTCCACTAAACACATCTCGACATAATTTTGAAACTGAATGAACACACGATGAACATCAAACCTATATACTCTGTTTTATTAAAACAATATACTATTATACTATACTCTGTGTTGTATTTTTCACCATCAGTTACATGACTTTCAGAAGTAAACAATAATCTCTTATTCCCCTCCAGAACTTCAGAAGTTTAGAACATGTGTAAAATCTTTCAGAATTTCAGGAATTGGCACTTGGAGGCTGCTGAGAGCATTTTCGGATATCAGAATCATCATGGCCAATAAGAATCATGGGCGACAATTCAATTTTTTCTCGAATTTCGAAATTAGTACAAACGCAGATGCTCACAACACATGCACACTTACCCCTATGAACGTACACACACCATACCTTCTATGAGCACCTTCGGAAGATTGTTGGGCCGACATATCTATGCCAAGTCTAGAACCTGAACCTTGGTGGGCTGGTTCCACCAGAAGGAACCTAACCATGAGCTACTCTCACATCACAGTATCCTAAATTTTAAAACTGGACATCTAGCTCCTAAATTTTATAATACCATTTATATGACCATGTAAAATGGTTTTGCAAAATGGTTTTTTATCTAAATTTTATATATGTTAAATTATTAGACATATATATTAAAAATCTTCACTTAAATTCATATTTTTACCCTATGTTTGCTCTCAGTTAAAAACAAATACCAGCTAGTATGACATTTTTATGGAGCATAAATTAAGAACTAAAGATTGATGATATATACTCCCTCCGTTTCAAAATGTTTGATACCGTTGACTTTTTAGCACATGTTTGACTGTTCGTCTTATTCAAAAACTTTTGTGAAATATGTAAAATTATATGCCTACATAAAAATATATTTAACAATGAATCAAATGATAGGAAAAAAATTAATAACTATTTAAATTTTTTGAATAAGACGAACGGTCAAACATGTGCTTAAAAAGTCAACGGCGTCAAACATTTTGAAACGGAGGTAGTACATATGTATATTCTTTACTTAAAACTGTCTGTTTAAGCATCAAAATATGCAAAACCACCGTCCAAAACTATCTTATGATGTAATTTAAATGGTATTGTAAAGTTCATAGGGTTGGGGTTTATATGTCTAAATTAAAAGTAATACAAATAATGACATCATATAGCCATACCATATCCATCTCAAATCATAGGTAGCACCAATTAACGAATATTTGAGCCCTATGTGGATGCGGCTAGACACCTAATGGCAGATCTCGTATGTTTGATGGAGATTTAGAACGGACGGTGCGTACACCCTTCCTAACCCTTGTGATTCAACATTAAAATGTTCGGTTGCTTGAGAGTCTTCTCGTTTCAGATCACCATACCAAATGCCCACCATGTTGGCTGCCGTCATACCTTACTCGCTTATGAGAGAGATCGACAAGAGCTCTAAGATTCGACCACCAAATTGATCTTCTATGGGGAGGAGGGGGAAGGGGAAAATTAACCCGGTCTGATTTGCTCTTGGGCTGATCTTGGTGTCAGATTGCTTTGCTTGCTAGATTTGGGGTTTGTTTATTTGGCAGAATCATCTAAGGATTTTATCTTTTTTTGGAATAATTAAGCATTTCCTTGTTTCATATGTGCTTGTTTGACAGGGATCAGTTAATCCTAATTAGCATGCCAAGAGATTGAAGGTTCAACTAGGTTTGTTTGGGATTTTAGTAAAACGGAGCTTGAAAGTTCAAAATCTCCGGTGCTACGAACCTTCTACGTTCCTGAAACAAAATTTTCCAGGTGACTAATTAATTATTTCAGCTAATAGATTAGCGACACGTGTGTTAAAATCTTATCCTACGATTAGGGATGCAGGTGGATCGGGCCAGCCCACAGACCCAGCGACCTAACTAGGGATTCACGTGGGTCAGGCCGGGTGGACCCAAGGTCTTATCCAATATAACACAAATTACCACCTTGGATATATTGGGTAAGACCTCCGGTCAATCCGGCCCGACCCACATGCATCCCTATCTATGATAGAGCAGCTTGCACACGTATGAATTTCTCTAAAATCGGTTCCCCGTATTCGTCCTTGATAATGAAAGTTTTCATAGATATTCAATTTGGAGTAGCCCTTCTTCTTTCTTTGAACGAATCCGTACAGATTAATTAATTTCAAATTAACGCTTGTTCCTTTTGCTTGCTCTTGGCAAACTAATTAGCTTGCTTGCTAGGGCCATATACGGCTCAAATTAAATTCATCCCCATGGCTGACCACAAAGTAGGAGGTCTACCCGAGTTAGGTCGGATGGACATGATGACCACGCTGACCACGCTTGGCTTCGTCGGCAGCGACGTCGACGTCGACGAGGACAGCGGCAAGGCGATATGGGATGATCTCGCTTCTGAGATCGCGGCGGCGGCGCCGCCACCGTGGATCGATACTCCGGCGACCTTCTTGTATTCATGGTCATGCATGTATTTGCTTAGTGGTTAATTTTTGCTGGCTAGCTGGATGTGCTGTCAGATTTATTGTGCTGCGAGCTGTTTTTTAATCACTGTTTGGAAGCACCTATTATGCGATTAAACAGGTAGCCAGCTATAGCTTGGTAATGTACTACTGGAATGAATTAATGTGTGCTAGTTTTGTCCTTTTTTTCACCGTTGCATATGTGACTGTTGTCACATGTACGTCATGTATGGCATGTACTTCATTTTTTACTTTAATTCATTTATTTTCCTGTTTGGACCCGTATATTAAATATATACTTTAAATTAAAAAAAAATTATTTATTAAGGGATGCACTAAATTGCACCGGGAAAGGGTAATAACTAAATAATATTTATTATTCGCATAGTAATTTTTTACTATATGCTATATGTTTTCAATTACATGATAGTATTAATAGGGGAATTTGGAATTTGTGATTATTTCACTGCCAGTAAATAAATTACTAACATTGCGTGTGTTTTAACTATAACGTACCCAGGGTATACTATAGTATGCCTATATTTTTTAAATATTTTCTTCATAATAATAGAAATGTATTGGATGCATTGACCACTTTTTGAATGGGGAATATGTGGTGCAATTTGTGGACCATTTAGGCCATGTTTGGCACACTGGATTTTAAATTAAATTATAGTGTTTTATAATTTTATATTTTCTCTAAAATAGGAATAAATTAATTTATCCAAGATACAAATCTAAGGATTCTTGGATATCGAGCAGTAGCACAAGAGCCCAATAAATCTTCAAAGTAGACGAGTCTAAATTAAAATTCCACCGAACATTTAAAATGCTACTATTAGCCTTTGGGCCTCACTTTGTGGTTACAATTTGGTACAAAATGGTCCCAGAAAAAACTACGAGAGCCAAAAAGGGATAGAAGTTGGACTTAGTTGCTAAGCGTGCAGGGGTGGCAATGGCTACATGCCATAGCCCACCGGTCTCATGCCACAGTCGACACTCGTCACCAGAAAGGAGGATGGGGTGGACCACTCCCAATCATCTCCTCCGGCTACCACAACGGGATACCATATGGTTTGTTCCTTTTCAGTCCCAGTTCCCTTATTCACGCGATTTAATTGATTTAATTACATACTATCGAGTACTTTCTTTGTGGGTGCATAGATGGAATTGTTTTGTGTGGTCTGGCACAGGAAAGGCTCTAACCAATTTATCTTTCCATAATGTTGTGATAATTAGTATGACTAACTAAATATTTCATATCATAAATAAGAACTTTCTTAATATATTTCATCGTATATTTGTGTTTCCAAAGGTGTTTTATCTAATTTTGTATATCAACTAGTAATACCTATTAAAACATGTCTATAGTGGTTTGATATGTCTATAGTGGTTTACCGTTGTTTATATTGGTAAGACACTAGGCACTGCAAAAAAAGGATAAATTGCCCTTGATGAAGACAATAAAGGATAAATTGCCCTTGTCAAAGATAAGTTTGCACTGTCATCAATTTACTTTTCACTTTAGAAATAGGATATAGCTGGAGTGGAAGCTGGACACGTAAAAAGTTCCCAAAAGGCGAAAACCATGATTGTTCACGACTATACCACCTGTCCATGTCCACCTCTTTTGATATGCGAAATGACTTTTTTGCCCTCATTTTCCTATCAAGTATGTACTAAGCCCAAACCTCCAAAGTATTTTATTCAATAGGAAGCACATCTCCTTCTAGACTGAAAACCTTGCGGTGGGGCGGTGGCCAGGCTATGGCCACCGCCCCACCACGGGAGAGAAAGAGGGTCGTGGGCTAGTGGTGGGGAGGCTCGTTTTTGCCGTCAGGAGGGGGTGGCGGTGGCTGATCTGGTAACAGGAGCCGCTAAAGGTGAGGTAGGAGTGGTAGGATAGGGGATTCCTACCAGAGTTGAGAATGGCAATGAGACATCAGCAGTAGAAGTAGCGGGGGAGATGAAGGTTGGAGGTGGTGGAGAGGGCTTGGCCGGTGGATCTTGATGGTGCCTTTGTGGTGCCGGCGTGGCAAGGTCTTATCGTGGAAAGGAGTAGTGGCGGCGGGGTGGTTTTTGCGGAGATCAAGAGGAGAGAGAAAGGGCTAGGCTTTATATTTGTTGCATGAATCACAAAGAAATCCTTGATGTCTGTGATTTAACAACATATCAGGTGACAGATGATTACTCAATCCTTGTAAATTGTCTTGAGACAAGTAATTAGTAACTAGCATAGATATCGGCTCTGATATATGAGAATACATAGATCCTTGTTTTTCTGTTATGGTACTAGGATTTGTTGCTAATTTATTGTTGTTTTCATTATTATAACAACTACTTCCCCTTATTTGATTTCTTTCTTATGACTCTGTTGCACTATGATCAACAATTATTTTCATTGACAGTGTTGCTATTCAATTATATTCGTGGTATGTGTATTCCTTCTAGATAACTTTTTGAAGATACACCAATAACATTACCTTGTGACTAGTCATAACATTTATTACTTATTCTTGTTGTGCCAGATATCCTTACCTCTATCTAGAGGGGAAAATTATGGTCATAGTATATCCTTACCTCTATCAAGAGGGGAAAATTATGGTAATAGTATTGTTTATCGTTCTTAATATGTTTGTCTGACTTGATTTATATAATGTTCTTGTGTTCAACTACCGAATATGTTACGATTTCTTCCTTTTGTGAGAAATATTAATTCTAGTGTTTTCATCTATATCTAATCAAATGATATTCATACAATGCACTGTTTCATGATATGGCAACTACTCCAGCATCTCTACCGCAATCAAGAGTACAACAATGTGCAATATATTAAAATAACCATTTGAATCATGGGATTATTTAACATTAATATTTTGCATGTCATCTATGCAAAGAATTACATCATACCATTTCTATTAAAACATTTCTCCTTCCCTACTCAGGATGGCCCAGATGAACACACATCCACTTTAGATGAAAAGGTACCTATTGAGGTTGCTGACATGCACCTTTCTCGGGATATCCAGTCTAAAGCGGAGATCCCACCTGCTTGTAGGACTCTAAAAGAGCAATCATCCAAAGTTGTTTATGGAAGTTGCATTTCTGATCAAATGTTTGGACTACGGGGTTCACAATATACACTGGCCAAGCCATCCTCATCTGAAAGATTCTATACTGATAAATTCTCTGATGCCACTGGATCCAACCATCTGAAGCTTCATAGACAAATAAGTGATAATGGAAATGTTGAATCTAGGCCAGAACTGAACAAAGATGCTATTGGAGTTTTATTAAGTGAAAGGAGTCTATTAGCCAAATCAGGAAAGCAGGTTGAGCAATGTATGGTGAATGATCTTTCTGCTCATCCTTACAACCCTATGTGTCCTTTGTCTCAAGGTGTTAATTCTTACAGTTCATCTTCCCAACAAATTGGGAGTTCATCAGGAGAAGTCAAATATATTCAAAATTCAGGTCAAGAAATGCAAATTGCTTGTGAGATTGTAGAAGAACAATCACATATAGCTTTGTATGGAGGCAAGAACCCTTATGAATTGACTGGGCTCGGTGATCCTCGTGATAAATTCATTGCCCCATCTTTATTTGAAGGAGTTAATATTAGTAGCATCTCTAGCACTTCGTCAGGGATGAACTTATCAACCAATAGTGCTAAAGAAAATAATGAATACAACCAACTGAAGCTTCAGAAGCAAATTGATGGTTATCAGAGGTTTGAAATTGGCTCGGGACTGAATATGGATGATGTTGATGGCGATTTAACTACAACAGGGGCTCCATAAAAAGTGCAAGTTGGGAAAAACATGGTAAACACTCGTTTTGCTAAGCGTACCAACCCGTATTTACTATCTCACATGGTACTAGTTACAGTCCATCTTCACTACACAAAAATGAGGTGAACCAGTTGATAGAACATCCTGAGTACCATTCACGGTTACATCGCATCCAACCTTCACCGCAACCAATCATCGAAGATGTATCAACATCAATGACACTCTATGTTAAAGAACCATGCTGTCAATGAAATTTTTATTTGGCAGACAATTTTCCTAGTCTTCGGGGAATTGACAATGTTGCGGATAACAACCCTAGAATTTCCTTGCTTCACAACACTATTGTTTCCACCAGGAATGCAGGGAACCAATCTCCCACCATGAGTGGTATGGTGCATGCTGATGTTTTAGAAATCTACTCCTCTTTGGATCAGCAGACTTTAGCTAACAATATACAAATTCAGTATGCTCTTCAAGCTGCCAGGCAACCATCACAACAATCCCTGCATGCTGATGTTGCAGAAACAAACTCACCTTTTGGTCACCATTTTGCAGCCAACATTATACAGAGACAGCTTGCTCCTCAGGTCACAACACAACCATCAAACATATCCCTACATGGGAGCTACAACCACAACCTGCGGATTGGATCTGGTGGTGATTTCCAGATAGAGCTGTTCAGGCCATTCTCATCTCACATAACTAGTAGTGATGTCATTTCTGGTGCATTGCCAAAGATCAACATGCAGGCTGAGACAATGGTAGGAAAAGATGATTTAAAACATCAAAATCTTCATGGACAAATTGGTTTTCATGAAAATGTTGCACCTCACTATTTTGGCATGAACCCTGAGTTGCCAAGGATATCATATTTTCTACGCCATAAATGCTCTAAATTCTAACAGCTTAATAGTGATGCAATGAGATGTTTAACCATGGTAGAAAAACAAGTTGAGTAATATACCATAATTGGTCCTACTTTCCCTTCTGTGATAGTACCCAATCCTTTGTCAGGAAATCATCTTTCTTCCATCTCCAGGGGTTATTGTTTAGGCAGTAAGGATCCTAATAATAATCAAGGTATTGGTTTTTCTCCAATGTATGGATCAGGTGGATTCAATACTAATTACACCTTGCCCCCTGAGAATAGAAGCACATGCAAGGGAATCCTATGACATAGATACTGTATCTAAAGCCACTAGACAAAGCTGCCAAGTATACTTTGATTCTGCAGAACAGAGTTCTCAATGTGTTCAAGAAATGAGACTAGATGAAGCTACAAATTCGAACATGTTGACTGCTCAGCAACAACCTCAGAGGCAACTGTATAGACACCTTGAGAGACATCATAAGAAAATCGTTGCATCTGAAGCGCAGGCGTTGCATGGCAATGTTGAGACTCCTATCAGGATGAACAAAGCTAAGGAATTCCCTAAAATAGTAAGGGATCATGAAGCATGCTTACTTTCATTTTATCATCCTGCTCCTATTCCATCCCATGTTATGAATATGTTGCATTGGTGCTTCGGTATTGATATGGAAAGGAAAATGCCATTGCCAAAAAGGTATCCAACACAATGCTATGGTACACCAAGGATTGTTCATCAGAATGGTACATTAGGTTTCAGAAGATCTTATGTGGATTTTCCTCACAGAGATGATCTCAAAAGTTTGGACAATAAGGAGCTAAATGTCCTGCTATTCCAAAGGAAGTTTAGTGGTTTAAGCAAAGGGAATTATCTTCTTTTTTCACATACAACGCCATGTGTTTCAATGCAGGTTTGTCCTCTTTGATTGCAGGCGAGACCCTGCTAAGCATTCACATGCATGGAAGACTTTTCCCGATGGTCAAAGTTTGCTATTCTTTTCTATTTTGTTTTTCAGCATTGATCAGTGTGGGGGGCTGCTTCAGACAACAAAAGCTTCAAACTGCGACACCTGAAGAGAAATTCATGGTCTTTGAAGAAATCATGCCTCATGCTATTAAACTGGTGATGGATATCTATGGAAGTTATGTGCTACAAAAGGTTTTAATTGCAATTATTTTAATTTTGATGATTTAGGTAAACACTACTAAATTCACACACCTGTATGCTTTACATTTTCTACTAAGATGATCGAGCAGGGAACCCCGTTTTAAAGGAGGAAAATTACAGCATGGTTTTTTGGAAGTGTTTTAAGTATAAGCTATCAGATATATGGATCTAGAGTAATCCAAAGGGTAATGTGTGTTTTCCATATCTAATATCACTTCAACCTATTGCATATCTGATTTGCTTCATATACACAAGATCTAGATCAGAGTCTAATATTTTCTTCAGGGGGAGAGTTGGGAGGGGGGGGGGGGTCGGGGGGAAGGGGATCGGTCAAATTTGACACTTTGAATGGCAATGTCCACCCTTTCACTTGATGCATCCCCATCGATGTCAATTAGTTAGGACACAACTTTACCAGGTAAGAGTTGGCCTTCACCATAGCCACCTCAGCTAGAAAGTAGTGTGGGTGGGGGTGGCCACGTGGTGGATGGTGATGATTACTGTTGGGTGTCAATATGGTCGACTTGGCAGATCTAGCGGTAACCTGAGATGGATAGATGGCAGACATAGTGGAAGGGAGGTGGTGGAGGCATTATGCAGGAGAATGTAGGCAACTTTGGCATCAAATGTGTCTCCTACACAATAGGTGGCAACAGGAAAGAGTCTCACCGGTACCTGGAGTAGCTTCGATGTTGGTGAGGTAGTCCAGGGCAATGCAGGAGTGGTTGATGGTGGCGGTGGCTAGGGTATTATGGCTTGTAGGAAAGACTAGGTGGAAATATAGGGACTATAGGATGTTTAGGGAAGTTGAGTCTCCGCGAAAAAATTATTGGAAATAAGGGATAGTAAAGGTAGTGATATTTGTCGAAGGAACAAGACTCTCCATTGTTAGGACTAATTTTCATTATATACACGAAGCGTTGTGTTCCAAAATTTCTGCAACTACATATTATTTGAAATAAAGCTCTGCCATTATGTTCAACTCGTCCTTCATTCTATCTTGTACTTGTGTTTGTAAAACACATAATTAAGCTAATGCCCACAACTCATTAATTTTCTTGCGTCTTTGGCTATAGAACTTGGTGATCTAGACTAGAAGATTCAGATTGCCAAGGAGCTCAATAATGATATCATGAAATGTATATATGACCAAAATGCAAACCATGTTGACCAAAAATGCATTGAGCATGTGCCACCGCAATTCATAAAGTTCTTTCTAGAGGACATGTATGGCTGTGTTGTTGAGTTATCAGTTCATCCATATGGATGCCATGCTGTCCAGGTTTAATTCTTTGCTTTTTGGTTAATTAATTTACAATATTTATTTAGCATGGAGTCAACAAACGATATACTTTCTCCCTTGTCTTTTCATTTTCAGAGAGTTCCGAAGTACTTTGATGATCCAATACAGGAAATTTTTCTCGAAGAAATTATAGAGGATGTCTACTACATGACAAAAGAACAATACGCTAACAATGTTGTGCAGGTCAGCTACAGCTTATAGTATAATTACCCTATTGATGTTGTTCACTGTTCTTTACAACTATGCATAAATTCTACATTATTAGGAAAGCCCATTAATTCTATTTTTCTTTTCGTGCCAATTCTTCATTAATTCCCATTTAGTTATTGTTTGAATTTTCTCTTTGCAGCACATTTTGCAGCATGGGAAAGCCCTTGTGCGATCTTTAATTATAAAGAGATTTATTGGGAAAGTTGTGACCATGAGCAAGCAAAAGTACGCTTCTAATGTCTTTGAAAAGTGCTTGGTCTTCAGTAGCTATGATGAAACCCAGAAGATTATTAATGAGGTCCTAACCATAGCCAAGGTAATAAATAGTGGTGGTAGCGGCCGCTATAGCGGCCGCAATAGCGGTAGCGGTCCCCTCCCACTACCACTATGGGGTAGCGGCATGGATGTAGCGCCCTATAACATAGCAGCCGCAATAGCAGGTAGCGGGCCGCAAAATTGATATAGCGGGCCACTATAGCAGATGGGCCACATATATATATATATTTACCCTAAACCCTAGTCCACCTTTTCTCTCCACACATTTGCATCTAGCACGCCGCCACCAACACCGCAGGGCCTGCGTCGCGCGGCGGCGCTCCACGGATTCATCGGCCAGCCGGACGCCGGGCGGCGGGCGGCGGCTGCCGCTGAGTTGAAGAGCACCTCCCATCTTGCCTCTTCGATTCGATGGCCAAACATTAGTTGGTCAGTGGCTCAGCGCAGCACCGATGCCGACTCGCCCTGTCCATTGATTTGAGTTTGATTGCTATTCTGTGCAGGTTATCTTCTTCGTCGAGGTGATTGCTTGCTTTCTGCTACCGGTTAATGCTTAGTGGTTGGTGCTCATTGTTGTGTTGAAGGCCTAAAGCTCAAGCTCAACTGTAAGATCTGCATTCTACTTGTACACAAAACACTAAAACACATCAATTTCCGTTGGCATAAAGCATAATGGCATGTTAATATTGTAGCATATGTATATAGTATTTGCCTTTACAAGAGATTTACACGTAGGACTTAAGATTATCAATTTTTTTGTAGTTGCACAATGTCTTCGGCTGCATCAACTGCACGTTCAAGCCAATCAACATCAAGGAAAGATCCAGCTTGGGAGTTTGCTTTACCGTTAACTGGAAATGAAACTAAGAATCAAGTTGGTTGCTTATACTGTAAGAATTACTTCAAGGGTGGAATAACTAGGCTTAAGAGGCACTTGGCTGGAGTTAGAGGGCAGAGTGTTTATTGCACACAAGTTCCTGATGATGTTAAGGAGAAGGTTAAAGCAATGCTGGATGCACATGGTGAAAAGAAGAGTGCAAAATTGGATAGCCAGCTTCGATTGAGGCAACAGGTTAATATCAATGGAAATGATGATGAGGAAATGGAAGAAGTAGGAGAAGTTGAAGTTCAAGAAGCTCCATCAGCTGCAGGAAGCACACTAGTCCGTAAGAAGCCCCGAAACAAGGGACCATTGGACAGCTATTGCATGCGCCCTGAGGAACCTCGTGCTAAGGGAAAGCATATACAAACTACAATGAGTAAACACTGTAAGGTCAAAGAGAGGGAAAAGCTCATGAGTATATTGCAGATTGGTTTTATGAGGCAGCAATTCCTCATAACACAGTTTTTTCTCGAATCTTTTGATCTAATGTTAGAGGCTATTGGACAATTTGGCGCATGATTGAAGCTTTATATGCTTGGCACTCCTTTATTAAACAAACATATCAGTTTGTTGCAGGAATATTTGGAAGTGCAAAAGGAGTCATGGTCTTCTACTGGATGTTCTATTATCGCAAATGCTTGGACAGATCGGCGTGGAAGAAGCTTAATGAATTTGGTTGCTCACTGTGCTAGAGGTATGTGTTTCATTGATGCCATTGATGCTTCCTTGGAGGTTCACGATGGGAAGTACATCTACAGCTTGGTAAGCTCTTGTATTGATGAAATTGGTCCTAAAAAGGTTGTGCAGGTGGTCACTGACAATGCTTCAAATAATATGTCTGCATCAAAGATGCTTCAAGTGAAACATCCTCACATATTCTGGACCTCATGTGCTGCCCACTATATTGATCTCATGCTAGAGGATATTGGTAAGATAACTATGGTACATAACATTATTCGAGATGGAAAGTCTATCACAAATTTACTCTATGCACAAGTTAGATTGCTGGCCATTATGCGTCAATTTACGAAAGGTGACTTAGTTCGAGCTGGTACTACTCGATTTGCCACTAGTTACTTGAACTTGAAAAGTCTTTATGATAAAAGAAATGAATTGAAGCAATTGTTTGCATCACAAGATTGGGCTAAAAGTTCCTGGGCTAAAAAGATTAAAGGACAGAATGCACACAACTTGGTCATGAACAACAAGTTCTGGTCACAAATGCTAGAGGTTATAAATTATTTTGAGCCACTTGCATATGTACTTAGGAGGGTGGATGGTGATGTTCCAGCAATGGGATACATTTATGGTGATCTTATCAAAGCAAAGAAGGACGTTGCAGCATGCCTAAATGGAAATGAGAAGAAATATAGTCATATTTGGAAAATCATAGATGCAAGATGGGACAGCAAGCTCAAGACTACATTGCACAAAGCTGGGTATTTCTTGAATCCGTGCTTCTTCTATGAGAATAAGAGAGAAATCAAGGAAGATTTCCTGATGCAAGCAGTTGTAGAATGTGCAACCTGCATGTATCGTGATGATATTACAGTGCAAGATATTTGTGTAGCTCAGCTTAGCCTGTACACTGAAGCCATGGATTCTTTTGGAACAACAATGGCTATTAGACAAAGAAATAGTCCAACAATCACCCCAGGTAACTTGATTCTTAATTTCTACCATTAAATGAAAATATCTTCAAGTTTGTTAATCTACTTTTTGTTGTCATTGTAGCAAATTGGTGGTCTGTACATGGAACTAGTGCTAAGGATTTGAGGAAGATGGCTATCAGGATTTTAAGTTTGACTTGTAGTTTCATTTGCATGCGAAAGAAATTGGAGTGCATTTGAGAGAGTAAGTTCTCCAAATAATTCTGCAATTCATTATTCACTGTTAATATATCTTGAAGAATCTGAAATGCTTGGATATTATATACATGTAGGTCCATTCTAAGAAAAGAACTAGATTAGGCCACCGAAAATTGAATGCTCTGGTCTTTGTCATGTTCAACAAGAGGCTGAAATCAAAATATTCTCAAAAGGATAGGGATCCATTAGTTGCTAAATTTATAGATGATGATCCACCAAATGAATGGATTATAGATGATGATGCACCTGCACAACAACCAGAAGTTGATGCTCAGAGTGCAGCTGTCAGTCGAAAGAGAAGATTAATACATAAAAAATCATCAAGTAAAGCAAAGAAAGCATGCGTTGTGGTCGAAGAGGAGGAGGAAGAATTTCAATCTTCTAACAGTGAACATGAAGAGGAGGAAAATATTCCTTATGCAGATGGTTCAAGTGACCATGAGCTTGATGACGTTGGTGAGAATGACAACGAATGACATGTTCCTCAGTTGTTTTATGGCTCCCATGATCTTGTATTCTCGTTTGTTGTGAACTTGTGATTCCTGTTGGCTGGCTTGTGCATGCACTGAGACTTGAGACCATGTTTGTGTCTTAAATTTAAGTTATGTTGGAATGACATAAACTCTTTGAGGGCAAGTATACAAATAAATGTCTATTTTCTCAAATTTACATGTGATTATTTAATGCCGCTATTGGAACTTAGCGTCCGCTATCTGCGATCCGCTACCAAGACCCCAATCCGCTACCAATCTGCTATCTGCTATTTTTGAACCTATAGTGCCAATACCTCATCAAAAGTGGTGAAACTGAAGCTCTTATGGTATGTATCCACATCCTCCCAATTATGTGATTCTTAGGTGACTACATGAATATATACATAGAAATGAAAAAAACTTAAAGTTAACATAAAAGAGTTAAGTCAAAAGAGAAAAAAACGTAAAACCCATTATGTTTATTACACTGGTCTTGAAATTAATGTTTACAACAGTAGTCAAATTATGTCTATTACACAAATGCTCCATTGAACTGATTCACAACCTTTGTTCTAGCTTATGAACCTGGTCTTAAGTATGTGTTTCTTAATTAATTTCTAGGCAATTAATTAATGCAGGTTATGGTGAATGACCAATATGCCAATTACGTTGTGCAAAAGGTGATTGAGACATGTGACGAGTGCCTGAGGATGCGCCACAGGCAGCTCCGCAACTGCACCTATGCAAAGCATGTCGTTGCACGGATAGAGAGGCTCATTGAAGCTGGAGGTAGGCCATCAATCTGTTTTCCCTCCCTAATATATCACTCAAAACAGTCATGACATACATACATACATACATACATACATACATACACATATGTATGTATGTATGTATATGTATGTATATATATGTATGTATGTATATGTATGTATATATATGTATGTATGTGTATGTATGTATATGTATGTATGTGTGTATATGTATGTATGTGTGTATATATATACATATATATATATATATATATACATATGTATATACGTATACATACATATATATCCATATATACGTATATATACGTATATATGTATATAACACGTAGACCATACGAACAGTTGGATGGCTATGATGTGTAAGGGAACACAAGAGTCGTATCTAATTTGATTTTTTATGTCGGTGTTTACTCACATAACTTCGTCTAAATGAAAAACTTAAAATAAAGAAGGCTATAATACAAATAACTAATATTCGAAAAAAAGTTTGTTTTTCGGCCATAATCTAGGACCTATATGTCTGTTACATGTGTCGGATCTAGATAAAAACAATACATATAGTATTGGCACTATAGGTTCAAAAACCAGCACCCGAGCCGAACTGATCGAACCAGCGCCTTTATCCAATATCTTCATTAACCCAGCCTTATACATCCGCCTCCCCCCATCCTCCATCCGAGCTAACGCCTCTCTCTCTCTCTCTCTCTCTCTCTCTCTCTCTCTCTCCATACTCCAATCCCCATCCTCCTCCCCCCATTATTCTCCCCCACCTCCTCCAAATCTGCCTCCCCACGTCTCTGTTGCGAGGTGGCGGCCGGCATCGGTAGCGGTGGTGATGGCGGAGGTGGTTGCGGTGTTGCTTCCTCCTCCACCGCCCTCTCCTCCAGCCGTTTTCTTCTCCTGGCCCAGTCTTAACTATGTGTTTCTTAATTATTTTCTGGGCAGTTAATTAATGTAGGTTCTGGTGAATTACCAATATGCCAATTACTTTATGCAAAAGGTGATTGAGACATGTGATGAGTGGCAACACAAGATAATACTTGAGTGCCTAAGGATGCGCCATAGGCAGCTCCGCAATTGCACCTATGCAAAGCATGAGGTTGCACGAATAGAGAGGCACATTGAAGCCGGAGGTAGGCTATCAATTTGTTTTCCCTCCCTAATATATCACTCAAAACAGTCATGATATATATATAGCAGAAAATGCATAAAAACACATATTCGTTTTGTAAAAATGTGTTTGGCATTTTATTTGTGTCTAAACCCCGGCCTCTTGCTGATGTTACATCTTCTCTAGAGCGCATAATGATGATGCAGCCCAGGCACTCCAGTCGACATGGAAAGGAGCTGAGATACCCTAAAGATCTGGAAATGAGCTGAAGAGATGGAAACCCTTGCTCGTTCAGCATTGTCACTGACAGGTGGGTCCTTTAATCGGTTGTGACAGTTAAGGCGGTTTCCGGACGGTTACACCTGACATGTGGGCCCTACTTATCCTCTAGCTTGCTTTGGAGTGAGGTTTCTTCACTTTCTCTTTATTTTATTTGCTAAATTCCTGCAACACATTATTCTCCAAGTACAAGTGGAACTATTTTATTCTAAACAATTATGCATTATAAGCATAGCTAATTCTCCTTTATTATAGTTATATTGAAGGTCAAAATTGGTCTATAACGACCGTCAACACCCCTCCAGTCGAAAAAGTTTTTTTTAAGTCTTAGGTGGAGTCCTAGCTTATACCCAAGTTGAGCGCCTGTGAAGAACTCTTAGCTAGTCTGCTGCTATTTTCCTTTTGTTGTTAGTCGTAATGTGCCTTTGTAATAATGTAAATACTATCATTATAAATAATAAAGATGTGTCGGTGTACCCCCAACTTTTCATGGGATGGGGAATAATACACTAGTGTTTGGGAATGGTATTTCTGGGTGTGACACCTTTATCCTAAAAACTCATAGAGATGACAATAACATGTGATATATGTTGGAGCTCTTTTTATTATATCTCTATTCTCTATTTATATATAATAATAATATGCATGTGCTAAATGTTGCGGTGCAATTCTATTTATCTTTAATAATTTTTAAAATTTCATGTTAGACAAAAATATTTTTATATGATTTGTGCATTTGATCTTTAATGCAATTCATGTCGTACATTAAATATATTTCATGTAAAGTACAATAATATGATATTGAGTGGGCACAACAAATCTCTATAAGAATTAATTATATATAATCACATAAAATATACGAGGGCAATAATACTTAAAATATGTTAAAAAAAGTAGAGTTATTACATTATTTGTTGCAGGCATAATATAAAGTATTTGATACATATATAGAATATACCATGTAGGTAAATAACTATCCTAATTCTGAGCATTTATGATACACTTCAGAAATTCTCATGTGTCACATGGAATGTTGCTTTCTCACTCATTTTGCTGGTACATCACTAGATGTGGCACAAATTGTTGCCTTAGCTCGTCACCATTCTGCAAATGTATTTGTTTATAAAATAAACAATTGTATTATAAAATATAATATAATATTTTGAATGATCAATGTTAGTCGGGAATGACCATAAAGCCAACAAATGTAGTGCTCCACATTTCCAGGTTCGCATGAAGAGATGTACGTGACAACCCGACAAGCTCCTAAGAAATTTGAATAGTTAGCTACCTTGGGAGAGACAAATAAATTTATTGGTTACCTGTCAAGAACCGGATTTGACAATTATTTGACGTGACAAGTTAATATCCTCGGTCCACCTTGAGACAGGACATGCCACAAGCATGGCTATGCTAAAGTAGTCAGCAATGGTTAACAATGTTTTGCTATATCTCATATTTGGTTTATTCTTATAGGTTGGAATTAATGGATTAGGGTCTAGTACATAGAGTGTTATGCTTTCTTGGTCTAGTATGACCAGGATATAGCTTCCAACGACACGTACTAGTTCAAGAATCTAAAAAAAGTAGTCCATTAAGATAATATTAAAAAACACAACGATATAAAAACAAAGGATAGCCAACTTACCGATTTGCATTGTGCAACTTTATAATGAATTTTCAACCAGCTACCTACAACCCTGCAAGGTCTATTTTTTTATGGAACTTCAATCCAGTAGCAATCTATATGATGTATAATAATTGTTTAAAACAAGAGCCAAAGAAGTCAATATTGGCTATATTATAAAAAATTACCTTGTAAGTCTAGGAAATGTTTTGTTATTAATTCGTTAGTTTTCTGGACCGTCTGGATGTTTTCATACATGAACTTATGCACGGACATGTTGAAGCAGTGACGGTCCAGTGGTTCATACTTGTTTAGTACTGACTGAAGTTTTCTGACACTCAATTTAATGGTGTGTGTCCATGAACTTTGCACCCATATGTTCCTATCAATCAAAAAGAAAATAGGTTGCTGCATGTTTAAACTATAGGGTGGATACACCATACAGAAGTCGCCTGCACAAGGGTTTCAGTAAATTTATTTGTTGGATGTAGCGGAAAAGGCCGCCTATCAACTCTTGTAAACTCATCGCAAAAACCACGGAAAGGAGGGAACTATATTTGTGTTAATCCATTTCATCTACCCATAAAAGTTCAGTAGTGAACAAACAATTACTTTTTACAAATGAATGAGTTAAGGCATTCATCTTTTATGGAAAAACATATACCCCGTGTTCAGGAGGGTGACCTCTCTATAGAGGCGATTATAAACGCGTTGAAGTGGACCCAAGACCCAAATACACAATTACACCAGCAATGTCTGCAAAAAAAAAAAAGGTCAGCCAGTATGACTGACAACACAATTCATTTTTTTTCCAGCAATATAAGATGCTATTATTAAAAACATACCCACGAACGTCTTATTACGATTTTCTAGCAATGCCAGGTCACTAAAATTTTCGAGTTGTTTGGGGGTACAGACGAAACTACGGCGTGGCATTAGATTATATGAGTCGACTATAGTATCTCTAGTGAAAAAACAGTCATAATTCCTTTTTATTGTTCAGAAATTGAGTTCCCATGAATCAGGCTAGAAATAAACACCATATATGTTATTTTCGTCTTTTGATCAAAATATTGTTAAACCTTGTGTCATATTTTCTACTTATAATTGCTTCTATTTTCGAGCCCTACATATGTACCAATCATATTGTATATTTAGTCGATGGTAGTACATAATCATATGCACAACTTGTGCATGCAAGACCTGTTGTGCGTGCAAGACCCGTTGTGCATGTGAGACCCATTGAGAATGCAAGACCCGATGAGCATAGGTAAGTTCAGTTTATTGAATTGGTTGAACTGAAAGTAATAATTTTTTCTGTTATATGATTGACTGCTTGTTTGTTTCAAAAGTTTGAAGTACTTTGACGATGTTGAGTTTGATGATTCCAAGGTAAAGAGAACATTTAGTGTTATTGTCATGGTAGATGTCATGCTTCGTATGCTTCATATTGATGGATACTACTGTAAGTTCCATTTCCTTTTTCAATATGAAAAAAGTAGATAAAAACTGAAATACTATCATTAACTAAATATGCAATATGGTTGGTACACTTGTAGGGCTCGAAAATGGAAGCAATTGTAACTTGTAAGTGGAGAATATGCAACAAGGCTTAACAATATTTTGTTCAAAGGACGGAAATATACCATACATGGTATTTATTTCCAACCTAATTCATGGGAACTCAATTACTAAGCAATAAAAAGGGATTATGACTACTTTTTCGCTAGAGATACTATAGCTGAGTCATCTAATCTACCGCTGCAGTTTCCTCTGTACCCCAAACAACTCACAAAATTTAGTGACTTGGCATTGTCATAACATCGTCATAAGACGTTCGTGGGTAAGTTTTCAATAGTTGTAGCTTATATTGCTGGAAAAATGTTGAATTGTGTTGTTGGTAATATGCTGGCTGACATTTTGTTTGCAGACATTGTTGGTCTAATTGTTTATTTGGGCCTTCATCCGGAGCCGACTGAGAAAGGAAGCCATTACTTGAGTCTAGCGAGCTACACCCCGAGCAAGGAAAAAAAGGAGAGTATGTTTGAATGCCTGGAGAGCATCAAGGTACCGTTCGGATACTCCTCGGATATAAAGAGAATAATAAGCACGAAGGATAAGAAGTTCACAAACATAAAGTCTCATGACGGTCACTTGCTGATGACACAGCTGCTTCCTATTATAATTCATCGTATCCTTCCTGAGCAACTCATGTGCTCTGCCTCGTTAAGGCTCGTGAGCAGCTCGCGAGCTAGCTCGTTATCTCCAACGAGCTTTGAAGCCAGCTCGGCTCATTATGAAATTCAAACGACGAGCTGAGCCAAGCTTGTCACGAGCCGAGCGAGCTAACGAGCCACGAGCTTCCTGTCCACCCTACTCACGCAGGAGCACTCTGAAAGGCCAAGAACCATTACTCCTATACTATCTCTGAGTACTGGCATGTGGGATCCTAGCTACTAGCTAGTGGACGAGCACGTCTGCCCGCGCCGCCGTTGTGCGGCCATCCGACCTACACCGCCACCTCATCGACCTTCTCTGGAGCAAGGAAGGCACCGACGTTGTCATCGAGCTAGGCAACGACGGTGAGACGACAGAAGGACAGCCTAACGGGCGACGAGGAGAAGGGCGGTGGCCAGTGGGAAGGAGTGGTGCGCGACGGACGATAGGAGAAGAGTTGGCAGATGGCATAGATGGAGGTGACGGCAAGGGTGGAATGCGGGATGGAGCGATCGAGGTAGTACTGGTAGGCCCACGAGTCCTTGGTCCGCCACTTGGCCACCACCGCCACGGTGCCTGTCGTGCTGGAGTCGGCTACGCCTTTCATGAATCCTGGACAAACAGATGAGTAGTGAAGGAGGCGGCGGCGGAGGAGGGAGCGATGACCTTGCTGCGAATCCTTCCATCGATGCCGATGTAATGCAATGTGGGTCGATCTTTTCTATGTTTCATTGGTGTTGGTAGTGTGTGCAGCGGAGGAGGCGGAGGTAGGCGCGACGGACGACATAAGCGCCACATTAGATGAAGACCAAATCAAATAAGCCACATAAGCGCCATATCAGCCGAAACAGCTCTAAATACTGCCAAGGGACTAAATTTGCACTGGTTTTAGAAGTTGGAGGACGTTCAATACCCGGTTTTGCAGCTGAAGGATGTGAATGAAACTCGACTTATAGTGGAGGGACGTAAAGTGGACTTTTCCCTATTCTACTCCAAACCTAGTAGACAAAAACTCGGCCCGTCTCCACCATCCACGAAATACCAAGGAGAAGCCATTCCATTCCCCCCCACCGACCAGTGGCCGCCGCACCACGCCGTCTCCGATCATCTCCCTGAGCCGGCGAAGCCGCTGAGCTAGGGGAGGGCGCCACCGGGAGGCGGCATGACCATCCTGGTCTGGATTCTGAGGGAGAATGGGTATAATATTCCACCTCAGTCCTCAGTCCCGCCCGGAGCCACGGCCCGCGGCACATGGACGACCTAGCCGGCGGCGAGGGATGGTGCCGTTTTGTCGCCGTCGTTGGGGGCGACCACGAACCTGGAAGCGGGAGTGGCGCAGTCGTCTCCGAGGTCTCGAGTTCGATCTATTTGTCACCGAGAAAATTGGAGCTCGAGCAGCCATGGTGGAGCTCGCGCCTGGTGGGCTGTCGGCCAACGCCCGCCGCCAACCCCGGCGCTCTCCGCAAGGTAGCCTTCCTTATGATTTCAGCTTAGTTATTTAGTTATTGTACCATGGGGTCGAGTGTGCACTAGCCTCATTAAATATTCCAATGCATAATCCAGTTTCTCTCTCTGTTTGAATTTAGTCTCACCTCAATACTGACGAATCTGCTGGTGCTAATTGGGACTAATGTTGGAGAGCCATAGCTGTAATAATAATGCCTCAGCCCTGAGAAAATGCCTGGAAGAAATCAATTTCTGGGCTGTGCGATTGAATAGTAAAGACAGAGACATAATCCCTGCGTGGAAAAAGTAATTTCTTCCTCCCATCAATCTCCCCAATTGTTGTAATCTCTATGCTATGTCACCCCCAACAGTTGTTTCTGTGACTTGGAATGAAATTCAGGTGGGGAAGCTCTCCCCCCGGTGACTTGGTCTAAAGAAAAAACTTGGTGGAAGTCACTTGGCACAAGTGGTGCTGGCAAGGGACACGAGCCTGACTGGAGAGTGAGTACCCTGCTTGAATTAGATGTTGGAAGGATGATCATCGGGCTAGGATCTGCAGGAACTCCTGCGCATATATGATCCAGGAACCAGCACTGAGTGTAAGCAGGCCTCCAGTGGCGCAGGTCTCCGTCTCTCCAAGGTTTCCAGCAGGTTGTCGAGCAATGGCAGCCCTAATCCAGGCACTCTCTGATGGTTAGCCTCCCCTTCCATCTCAGCTCACCATGGGTCCCATTTCTCTGTTGAATCCTTGAATTTGAAAATAGTTTAATTACTGCAATATTAATTACTTTGCTGGTGCCAATTGGTAGTTTGGTACTGTACTACTGATTATTTTGGAACCATCACTGTAATTTTTTTTTATATATGAAAAAGGCAGAAGCTCTGCCTAGTCAATTAAGAAGAACAGAAAGAAACATACATAGAGGTTCTCAGTTACAATTTGGAAGAAACTAATTAAAAAACTAAGGACAGAATGTGCATACCACCAATCTTTTTTGTACAGAATGTGCCAGTTGGATCTTTCCATCAAGGCTAAATCATGAGCAAACAATTTTCCATGAATTGACCCTCTTTGATCATAGTCCCATCCTAGCAAGATGGATTGGCCATCCGATGATGATAATGCCTCAGTGTTTTCAGTGAATTGAATTAATGGGGGTATGGCTTCTTCTGCTTGAGACATTCAGTTTGTTCAGATACTAATAACTATTGCTTTTAGTTTACTTTCTTACCCTCAATTTGCTTTTATGATTGTTTAGTTGTGAATAGTACTTCAGTTTGCAGACAATATGATCAGATCAAACTTGATGGAAGTCACTCGGCATTACTGCTGCTGGCAAGAGAGTAGAGAGTAGAGAAAAGGGAAACAGGTCAGACTAGAGAGTACCCTAGTTTATTGTAAAGTCACTGCTGGCCAGGATCGTAGGACTGCAGCAGATATGTGATCCATTTGCAGAAGTGGAGATGACACGTCTTGCTGTAGTTGTCCTGTGACAATAAGCCTAAGGAGTTTTTACAAAATTGTGGCATGGTGCTCTCTTCAGATTGTAGTTAAACAGTTTCCAAGGAATCATACTATTAATCTGATCTTCAGTTTCTTCAGATAACTTTGCTTTCATGTTTGTTTGGTTGTAGATTAATGTCTTAGTTTGCAAAAACTGAGCAGATTAAACTTGGTGGAAGTCACTTGGCACAAGTGCTGCTAGCAAGGGAAACGAGGAACACTAGAGATTTGAGTACCCGCCCAGTACAATTTATAGCCACTGCTGGAACTAGATGTTGGAAGGGTAGTCTTTTGGGTAGGATCCAAAAGACCCCTGCACATATATGATCCTGGAATATGCACGTATAAGCCTCTAGTGGTGCAGTCCTCTCCAAGGTCTCTGGCGTGTTGTCGGGCAATGCCTACGATCCCGAAGTTCTCTGCCTGTTAGTCTCCCTTTCCATCTCGGCTTACCATGGGAGAACCTGGCCTTTAGATTGTGCACTCATAATGTTGAATTCGGTAATATCCTAAACAAAATCAATTTTCTCTCTGTTGAATACGTCAATTCGGTCATGTTTAGATTACTTCAATATTAATTAGTGTACTGATGCCAAATAGTTCTGAACTACTGATCATTTTGGAAGCCACGACTGTTTTTTTCGAAGATAAAAAATGGTAGGTGCTCTACCTTTCCATCAAGGCCAAATCATGAGCAAACAATTTGCCATGTATGAATGAAGAATTGACACTATTTGGCTAAATGGATTGTAGTCTCATCCTCCATGATCCACAAAGCAGGCAAGTTAAATTTCATAGCCATCCCATGAGGCCATGATGGTAATGCCTTAGTTTTATCAGTGAGATGTTCTTCTGCCTCAGATGTTCAGTTTGCTCAGATACTAATAGCTCTTTTTTTAGTTTACTTACTCACCCTCAATTTGCTTTTATGTTTGTTTAATTATAGATAGTACTTCAGTTTGCAGAAGATGATCAGATCAAACTTGGTGGAAATCACTCAGCACAAGTGCTGCTGACAAGAGAGTAGACAGTAGAAAAACAGGCCAGGCACATATTCCAGAAGTACCCCAGTACAATGTAAAGCAACTGCTGGCTAGGATCAGTAGGACTGCAGCACATATATGATACATCTGCAGAAGTGGAGTTCACACATCTTGCTGGAGTTGGCCTGTACACAAGACGCCTACTAAGTTTTTAGAAAATTGTGATTAATCTGTTTCGAAGGAATCATACTGTTAATGGGTGTGCAGGAATCGTTCTCTTGTTGTATTGGAGCCTGCAAATAGTTGTACATTCTTAGAGATGCCAGCTGTTTTTTTTTTTTTGTACAGTCTTAAGTAATTGTAAATGTAATGTAAGATGTAATTGTCAATATGCATCCTGGTGCCTGGTGACATGAATTAGGGGAGCTGCAGCACTGTAAATTGATGCAAGAGAAGTGCCAGGGTTCCAGTGGCACTCATGTTATCTGAAGTGGCTGTTCTATGTTCTCTGAGCTTATATCATGTGTCATCCATTGAGGTCAAAATTCTTTTGTGTTGAGTGATGAACTGATGATGAGTTGTTGCATGTTATCACTTTCAGTCAATAATTCAGTAACAATGGTGCATGGTCATAAGCATTGCTCATGGTGAATCTGAAATTGCTCTATCTGGAGCCTGTCGTCAATTCTTGAAGTAGTGTGACAAATCATTGACCTTCATTAAATGTGCACCATTCAAGAAGTTTTACAAATCAATGAACTGAATAGTAAGGAATATAATCATTGAAGTTGAACAGGTTACAATAATGTTACTTACATTGATTTCAACCAATCGACAGCAATCTCAACTAATAAATCACATGTTTTGCATATGCTTAATTACAATCAGTTATTAGTATCAACTAATGAACGGATAAATACAGGCCGTTCCAGGAGACCAGGACACAACAAGGAAGAGATCAGACATAAAAAAAAGTTGATTATTTTATTATTGCAAAATCAATGATTAAATACAACAATGTAACTAATGAATAATGATTAATTTCTATTCTACAATGAATAATTAGCTTTACAGCTGCAACTACAGTACTACACTAAACGTACAACTACAAATCTAATTATCTATCTACAAATCACAGAGATGGGAAAAGTCTTCGACTTTGATTAGAGACTTGGACTCCCATGCCGTTGCTTGTTGCTGTTCAAGCGCTGGATTTCTTCTTCTTGTTGCAGAGGCGCTCGTGCACCACCCCGCGCAGATCATCGTCGATCTTCTCCCAGACGGCGGCCGGCAGCGTGGCGCAATCTGTCCACAGCCCGGGATGCACGTACGCCTGGCGACACAGGGTGTGGGCCATCGAGTTGCCCTCCCGATATATGTGTCGCACCTCGACGTCCGCGAAGCAGCGGAGCAGGTCCAGGATTTCCTCGTGCATCGCCGCCGGGATCCTCGTCTGCGTCTCCTCGCCGCGGATGAGCTGAACCAGCACCAGGTCGTCGCCCTCGACGACAAGCCGCTCGACGAAGCACGCCAGCGCGAGCCTCAGCCCCCGGATCATCGCACGGGCCTCCACCACGCCAACCGTCCAGTGCTCCGTGATCTCCGCGAAGGCGAGCACCACGCCACCGTCGCAGCCGCGGATCACGCCGCCGATGCTCGCTCGCCGGGATCCGTCGTCATACACGCTGCCATCAAAGTTGAGTTTGCACCACCCCCCCGGCGGCGCCCACCATCTGACGATCACCCGGCTCGGCTTAAATGGCGGCGAGGACGGGGACAGCGGAGTGGAGCAGCGGGGAACCGGTGGTGGCGAAGGAAAGATCGACGGCAAGAAAGCCAAACCACCGCCGCCGCCGCGACCGTCATCAGGGACCCGGAGCCTCCCGCCGTCCACGCACATCCTCTGCCCCTCGACACTGCTCCTCTGCCGCTTTCCGTTCCCCTTCTTGGCCAAGAAGAAGGCCTCGTCGCCGCGGCCGTGATCCGCGAGAAGATTCCACGGCGGCGGCGCGCTCAGGGGATCCGCCTCGAGGATGTCGCCGCCGAGCGGGAGGGGCTGGCCCTGGAGGCGCCGGAGCAGGCAGCGGCCGACGAGCTCGTCGTCGCTGGGATCGAGCTTGAGGCCCGGGAGGAGCCCATCCGCGCCAGCCGCAGCCGCCGCCATCGCCACCGGATCGCCTGAGGATTTCTAGGGTTTTGGTGGAGAGAAAGCGTGGGCGCGTGGGTGAGAGGAGATGATCAGATGAGGAGAGGAAGCGTGCGTGTGGATCGTCTGAGCGAGGCGGGATTTGAACTTATAGAAGGCGGTGACGTCAGCGCGAGTCAGCGTTGTCTGCACGCGCTCTTCCTCCCGCAGGAGCAACGGTTGAGGGTTTAACGCCTTAACGGTATTGACTTCGAATTTGGCATTTGTTTCGATTTAGTCCCAAATTCCAAGATTTTGAACTATCGCTGATCGTTCACGCTATATAATTTTACTGCTCATGGTGAATTGATGATTCTAAAAATGCTATCTGCAGCCTCCAGGTGCAAATCCCTGATTTTTTTTTTATTTTCTGAAGGATTTTGGCATTTTGCCCATGTCTTGGACTTCTGGAGGATTTACCTGAGGGACATTGGGTTAACTGAATTGAGGAAAGCAGAGTATTGTTTACTTCTGAAAACAGGGGAACTGAAGGGGAAACACAGATAACAGAGAATAGATGATGATTTTCATTTTTAATGGAATATCTCTTCAAGAGTATATAGATTTGATGTTCAGAGTGTGTTCATTTAGTTTAAAAAATATGTCCAGATGTTATATTTGAGAATAGGTTTTCTTGTTCTCAACATTGTCAGCAGTCTTTCTGTTGTTTTACCCTTGCCAATGCCAGGACCCAATGTTCAGAAACGGAGATATTCAGACATCAGAATTCAGAGAAGTTCAGAAATATTTTTGTAACACAGTGAAAACTGCAGGCATTGTAGTTGTATCGGTTGAGTGATTTCACTTCAAGGACATTCTAGTTGTTGTTATGGCTGGAGTTATTGTCAGTAATCACTGCTTACACTAATCATTTTTTAATAGTTTAGGCGTGAGATGGCCATGTGCATCCACGTTAGGATACAGAGGATGGGCGTTACCCATTATCTAAAAAAAGGAGTGAGATTACAATTCTGAGCGGAGTTTACTTTTGATTTAATGTGATGACGCTGTAAAACACTTATAGGGTTCAATGTAATGAAGCAACTACTTATGGAAAACAAGAAATTTCAAATAGGTAGGTTACAAAATTTCCTGAAAGTTTTATTGACGTTGAGAAATAATGGGGGACCCAAAACCTGAAGTCTCAGGATTTTTTATTTTTCTCACAATAAAATTGTGAACTGTGGTATGTGGATATGAATGTGAAAGTGCTATAATGCTTGAATGTTCATCTGTATAAGCTATCCAATGACTTGGACCCTAAAATCAGTTCACAATGTAATACAAACGTTGAATTATGCATTAGTTTCACATAATAACTGAAGAGGGAGGGGGGACAGAGCATTGCTTACTTCTGAAGACAATGAAACTGAAGGGCCAAAGTTCAGAAATTTGAAGCCATTCACAGTCATCAGAATTCAGAGTTCAGAAAGATTTTTGTAATAGAGTGAAGTCTGCCGGCATTGTACCTGTCTACCTGTTGAGCACTTTCACTTTAATGACATCTGATGAACAAGAAGACAAGGAAGAGATGGCCTAGAGATTATGTGTCTGAAGCTCTTGTCGATAATCACTGTTTATATTAATCATATATTTAATGGTATAGGCGTGAGATTACAATTCATAATAGAACCAATAAATTTCTTCTTAAATTTTTATTGATGTTGACAAATAGCAGGGAATCTGAGCAACCTGAAGTCTTAGGATTTTTTGTTTTCTCACAATAAAATTTTGAATTGTGGACATGAATGTGAAAGTTCTATAATGCTTAAATATTTTCTATATGAGGTATCCGATGACCTCAGTTTTGTCAGTGAATTGAACTAGTGTCCAGTGAGGATATGGCTTTTTTCTGCTTGGGATGTACAGATTTTTCATATAGTAATAACTTTTTTCTGTCGATTTGCTTACTCTTAATTTGCTTTTATGTTTGTTCAATTGCTTACTCTGCACGCCCGACGATGCTGTGGTGTTCTTCAGGCCTTCGGCTGTGGAAGCTCATGCCATCAAAGGGATTCTGAATGTGTTTGGGGAAGCGACGGGCCTGAAGACAAACTTCTCCAAAAGCGCAATCACGCCGATACAATGCAGCGAGCAACAGCCAACAGCGTGAACTGGTGGAGTCCATCCTTCTGTGTCGTATAGGAGATTTCCCCTATAACATATCTTGGTCTTCCTCTTGCGATCAGGAAGCCAATGAAAGCTGAAATCCAGCCGATCCTCGATAGATTGGCCAAGAAGGTCTGCTCACCAATAGAAAAAGGCGGTCTAGGACTGAAGGATCTGAATCTCTTTGGTCAGGCTCTGAGATTACAGTGGCACGCAAAATCGCTGGAGCAGAAGGAGAGACCATGGACAATGGCAAGTTTTCGACCAGGAAATGATGTTGACACAATCTTTCGATCGGCGGCAGAGTATATCGTCGGTGACGGCACTGATACAGAGTTCTGGACAAGTAATTGGACCAGGAAAGGATGCTTTGCTTGGCGGTGGCCAATCCTGTTCTCATATGTGGGGCGAACCAAATTATCGGTCGCCAACGCCGGTTAGAGGGCTGCAAGGTTCACTGACGAATGAAGCACTGGGTGAATTCTTCCAATTATGGGATGAAGTACAGAATGTCTCTCTGCAGGCGGCGGCTGATGGAATCAAATGGATTGCCCTTACGGCAGCCTCGGCATATGATCTTTTCTTCATGGCAACAGAGGATTGCCCTTATGGCGAGCTGCTGTGGCACTCCAGGGCACCGTCACGCGTCAGATTCTTCATGTGGATTGCGCTGAAAGGCCGGTGCCTCACTGCTGATAATTTGGCCAAGCGAAACTGGCCGCATGATGTTCTATGTCCTTTGTGTCAACGAGAAGATGAAGACTGTCACCACCTGTTCGTGTCCTGCGATTACACGGCTGCAGTCTGGAGGAAAATGAGAGCATGGTGCAACGCAAACTTCACCATACCGGCAGACAAGAACAGATCGTTGGCTGAATGGTGGCTGACTGAGAGACGGCGTTTTCGGACGAGCTACAGGACGGATTTCGATAGCGCTTTCATGCTAATCTGCTGGGTGATTTGGAAAGAGCGCAATGCCAGGATTTTTCAGAACGTCTCTAGGACACATGAGTCGCTAGAGGATGACATCACAGAAGAGACAGCTGTTTGGAGAGTAGCCGGGGATTTTCTCCCAATTTGGCGAGTAATCACGTTTGTTGCTGCAGAGGGTTACTCCCTCCCTTCGTACTCTTTCATTTCAGTGTTTAAGCTGGTCTCAATCTTTTGAGACTGGCACCACATCCTTGTGTTGTTGTAACAACATTTTTCTCGCCCAAATCTTAATGAAATTGGTCAGCCAACCATTGGCCGACCCGGCAAAATAAATACTACTTCAGTTTGTAATACATAATGAGATATAAAACTTGGTGGAAGTCACACGGAACAAGTGCTGGTAGCAAGAGACACGTGGCAGTAGTTTAGCACACTCTTGGTATTTGATGTAAATCCACTTCTAGTATTTGATGATGGGAGCATAGTCACCTACCTAGGATGCACCAGATTTCTGCTCATATCTGTTTCAACAAGCAGCAAGTGCGCATGACTTCATTTTTGCAATGAATCAGTTTTGAAGGAATCATTCTGTTAGTCTTCAGGACAGACATGTAAATATCATCTAAGATGTACTTGTCAGTACATATCCTACTATCTTGCATAATAATGGGGAAACTGCGGGTCTGTTTTTCAGTTGTTAGCATGTTTGTTCTGTAATTTGATGCAAGAAAAGTGCCAGGGTGAAGTGGCATTCGTCTTATAGGTGGCATTTGGAAACTTCAGTGCAAGTAAGGGGATGTGATTTTTGTTCTATATTTTCAGGGCTCATATCACGTGTCATCCATTAAGTCTAAAATGATTTTGTGATAGGTGATTATAAGCCTTCTGTTGTATGTCAGCACTTCAGTGAATAATTCAGTAACAAGGGTGCATGCTTATAAGCATGGCTCATGGCAACGCTGGAAATTTGAAAGTGCTCTGTTTGGACCCTGTTATCAAATCTTGAATCTTGAAGAATTATATCCATGTTAAGTAAACCTGAAAGATCATAATATGCTAGAGTTCCTCATTTTCAATTCAAATAGCACAATGTTGTGCTATCAGGACACTGGGCCACTGAACTAACTAGTACCATATCAGTATTAACAACTGTACTCTGTTCTCTTGCGATTAGCTTAATTATATGCAATTCAACTAATCAACCGGCCATTCCAAGGAATATAAGATTTCAGTGTAACAGTATTTATTAGCATTCAGATAACATAAGCCTACAATAGTGTCAGTTACATTGAATCAACCAATCAACAGCAATCTCAGATAATAAATCACATGTTTTACATACGCTTAATTGCATTCAATTCAACTAATCAACAGGCCATTCCAGGACAAAAGTATAGTACTATATCTCGCTTCTGCTGCAAAGCACAATGTTCAGTGCTGATATCTTCTGGAACTTAACCTGCGGACAGACAGATCAAACAGCTTGTGTCGATGCAGCTGAGCGCATTATCAATGCTATCTGGAAATTCAAAACCAGACAACGCCGGCGCCCCTGAAGATTCGTTCACATTCCTCTGGTTCATATTCATTCATTGCTTCAGGCATCAACCAGTAAGAGGAATAAGAATCATCAGAAATTTTTTATGATGACAAAAGTAGAGTTTCATTCTCGAGAGGCTCCATCAAACACATCTCAAAACCACACCAAGAGAGGTTTCCATTCCAGTGTCCAAGATTGATACAAATTCCATACACCAAAGGCTTCCATTTCAGAACCCAGATTGAAACATACTTCATTTCATACACCAGAAAAGCAGAAAAATACTTCTTCATTAACTTCCAGATTGATACAAATATCATACACCACAAAGGCAAAAAAAGACTTCTTTATTAACTTCCAGATTGATATCTTTCATACACCAGAAAGGTAGAAAAAACGACTTCATTAACATTTCTTCAGAGGCGAATCTAGAGCACGGAGGACCCGAGTGCACACTTAATTTACGCATGTAATAGAAATGTAAATGTAACATATACAATGACAAAAAATGCTTACCAAAATGAAAAATCCGGTAGTACATGTCTACATGGCAATGGGCAAAATACATAATTAAGAATAACCTTGATGAGACGATAATAACCTGTAAAAAAGTGCTAATTAGATGGGGAAAAAATTGATGACTTACTTGACATGATTTCAGTACTAAAACTCCTGGTCCTCAAGTCCCGCCAAATTCTTTAGACCTTCTTTTCAATAAGCAAAACTATAGCCCCAATTGCAAACCCTAACAATATAATTCAATTCAATATAGGGGAATCGGTAATCAATCAATTGAAACACTATCTTATTGCTTCAAAAGAAATTAATTTGCACCAAAATTGGTCAAGAAATATTTTCATACCATCACAATGCAGACGTGGAGGGCTTGATGCCTTGATGCCGCAACCTGCAATCAGCGATTCCTGCTCGATGAGGCGTGCTACCCTGCCGTGCTGAGCGCCTGAGCGGTTAGCCGGTGGCCAGCGATCATGGCAAGTGGGTGCGCCGTGCAGTGCCTCCGCTCCGCTGCTTCCGGCTTCCGCCGTTCTGCGATTTGGGGGCGTCGGTCTGGGCATTTTGCGCGAGGCGGCGAGGGACGTGTCGCGGCTTTTCATTTTCCCTCTTTCTTGGGCCTTCATGGGCTGCCTGCAGCCTGCTAGGCAGCTGAAGGTGGTGCACATATTTTTTTTTCTAGGGAGTACACAAAAGGTGGAGATTAGATGCTAATAACTAAAAGCTAAATTTTTCCCTGGTGCCTGTGCACTCGGCAAGCTCAACATGGCGTTGCCCCTGCATTTCTTTATCTACTTCCAATAAGATGGAAATCTAAGACACAGGGATTGATAGAATTTGACAGAGTTAACAGTTTCTAAACATCCTACGATTAAAACTGGTTTTTTTACACTCTACTCCGACGATGGCCGCTGATCGAACTCTTCCAACGCCGGCTGCATTTTCTCCACCCTTGCCTCGTCTGATCAAACTCTTCCAACGCCAACTGCATCTTCTCCACCCTTGCCACCTGCAAACAACTGATAGACAAGAAGCAGCAAAAGAAAATACATTATGTAAATATAATTGAACCTGTGGATGCAGATATCGTGGTCCTAGTTGGCGACGACAGATGGCGGCGGCAGGGAGGCCCGGACGCGGCGGCGGCCATCCTCCGCTTCTCCCTCCACAGCTTCCGCCGCCGTCCTCTTCCTGCCAGCACCGCCGCCGCCGCATCTCCCGCTTGGCCGCGGCCCTCGCTCCAGGACACGACAGAACCAGTCGAACTGGTCGGCACGGACGAACAGGCGGTAATCGACGGCAATAAGGAAGCGCCGTTCGAGGCCGGCCATCTCCCTCGCGCGGATCGCGGCGTCCGAGCTGGTCTCGAACACCACGGTCCACCTCGTCGGGAGCCTGTAGATGGGCCCGCCGAACTTGGCGCCCACGAAGATCGCGACGGCGACGAGTCGGTGCGCGGTGGACGGGTCGATGAGGATCCCCGCCTCCCGCGCGGCGCCGCTGCGTATGAACCGGATCAGGTAGATCCCGGCGAGAACGTAGCACGCGCCCTGGATCTCGATCACATGGCGGACGCTCTCCTGCTGGATGAAGGTGTGGATGCGCTCAAGGAACTCACCGATCCGGACGGTGGGCGTCGCGCCGCCGCGGAAGGCGCGGATGAGGTCGGAGTCGGCGTCGGCGTCGGCGGCGGTGGCGTGGCAGAGGGCTTCGGCCTCCACGAGCGCGGCGAGGAGGGAAAGGGATCGAGGGATCCCGCGCTCGTCGTCGCGGAGAACGGCGTGATCGCCGTCGTCGGGTGCCACGGCGTCTGCAGCGGCCATGGCGGCAGAAGGGTCTCGCGGAAAGGGACGGATCAAGATTGCTAGGGTTTGGCGCGCGGGAGGGGATTAGGGTTTCAAGCTGGAGGATTTGATAGAAGAGAGGACGATCGTGCGCATACAATACTTTTATAATGGGCCTCCCGGTCCGGCACGACCCGAGATCGGTATGGCCCAGGCACAACCCAATAAGTCGGCCGGTCGGCCCATGCCGGGTTGGCCCGAAGGCACGGGAATATGGCAGCCTATCGTGCTTTTTTTTTGAAATAAGTCTATTTTACGTCCTCTTTTAGGTTGTGACTGATCGACTCATCGCCTGTTCGTCCGCTTCGTCTTGGTACCCCGCTGGCCGCCTACGCGGCTATGCCCTAACCTACGACTGCAAGCTAGAGAGGCAGAGAGACTGCGCGAGGCTACTGGCTACGCGTCATGCTCGGCGAGTCGGCGGCAGCCGGCAGCCGGTTGCAACCAGCGACTCAGCGAGGCAGTCAGCTGCGAGCGGCCGGATGACGCCCTCTCCGTGAATCCGTTCAGTTCAGTACTGCGACTGTGAGGTACCCAATTGCTCCTCTTCGAATCTCTGATGTATGCCAAGTATATATGTTTAAATTTTGGGATTTAAATTCTACTCCCCAATTGCTCCTCTTCTGAAATTACTTATTAATTTCTAAATTCACAGTGAAATCATGTTGCCTAAAAAACACGCATCTGGAAGTGAGAAAAGAAAAAGAAGAAAAGAATAGAGGAATTGATAAAATCACAAAGTGGAGCTATTACCGTAATGTCTCAAGAAAGATTAAATGGTTTGGTAACTTTATGCATATAGAAGAATTTATTAGATGAAATTGATATAGATGCCATTGTCAATGACTTCACATCATTAAATGTTAGAAGAAAATTTTAAGGTAAGATATATAACTTGTTTGATAATAATGTTTTTTTATGCATTGCATTTATTTGAAACATTGTTATATTATTAGTGTTGTATTAAAGGGCCCATCCTTTTAGCTTTGCTCCAGGCCAGTAAACTGACAGGACTGGGCCTAGACGCCAATCCGTGTGCTGCCGAGCTCCATTACTGCCGCCGTTCTCGGCCTCCGAGCCCTCAAGCCCCATCTCCTCGTCGCCGGCCGGGAGAGGAGTGGCACTGGCGAGCTCTCGCGCCGCCACCGAGCTCGCTGGCCAATGAGAGTGAGAGGGCGGCGTGGGAGAGGTGAGAGTTGGCCATAGTGGAGCTCGAGTTGCCAGCCACTGACGACGTAGTTGTCGCTAGCCTTCGTCTAGATCCAGGCAGCGCCGTCGAGCTCTAGCCCAGACCTTGCTCCTCCTCGACGCCTGAGAGGAGAGAGACGCTAACGGTGGCAACCGAGCTCCCGTGTCACTCTTGTCGAGCTCGTTGTTGCCTTCCGCCACTGCCTCGGCCTCCTCAACCCCCGCCGTGTCCCAAGCCTTCTTGGCTGCTGCCTCCGCGAGGATTGAGGCGGGGCACCGTGGAGCTGTCGTCACCCCCCCTTCTGCTGCTTGCGCGCCGCCGAGCTCGTCGTTGAGCCACCGCCTCGGCCTCCTCGATCCGTTGCCGCGTCCCAGCCTCCTTGGCCACTGCCGCCGCAGCAAGGAGAGAGGAGGGGCACAGCGGAGCTGCCGTGGAGGTCGGTGAGCCGTCGGCTGGAGCTCGTTTGCTGCCAGCGGCCGTCGGTGGACTGAGGAGGCAGCTGGCGGATTGAGGAGAGTGGAGTGGAGATATTTTATATTTGTTTTTTAGAATTTAGGGTGTGTGAGCGCGCTAAAATTTGTACATTATGTTAATTGAAAACACATTAGAAGATGACAAGGGCTGGTATGAAAAGTTGAAAACACTCCGCTGTGAGAGAGGAGGTGTGATCTCATATCTCAGTCTACATGGCATATGAGGATCCTCATTTTGAGTAGCTTGCACTGCTATTGCAAAACATGGGTTTGTGTCTATGGCCCCATGCTATAGCGAGGGATAAAACGATTATCAGAATAATCTTTTATATATGTTTCACCGTTAAGGATCTGTTTTTTGAAACTTGTTCACTTAATTATTGGAATGGATGATTTTTTGCACGCTTCAAAAAATATGTTCTCTAAAATATTTTCTTACTGGTATTTGCTTAGACCACTTAAGTTATTTATTAATATAATTTATTTCTTAAAATATTAAAATAATCGAGTAGATAATCGATACAAAAAACCATTTAAATAATCTAAACCAATCTAGGTCCAGATTAGTTAATTCTATTTTCTCTCATCTCTCATAAAGAGACGTTGTCTCGATTGTATTTAGCCGTTAAATAACTAAATCTATATATGAATCAAATATTGTCTTTTTTCTTTATCTTCTCTTTTCACACAAGATATATCAGCTTAATTATTTTTGGCTTCAGATGATCGATACACGATAGTTCAAATTATTGCTCGGTCTTCTATTAAACTATTTATCATTTCAATTATTCTAGCCTTTTGTACGATGACTAATCAAACATGAGTTTACAAAATGCAAGTCGATCATGTCATTTCGCTATAAAACAATCCATCTTGCATTTAATTTCTATCATAGTCATACAATATTCTCCAAACAACCACTGGTGGAGAAACCATCTTTCGTCGGTCGGCCGAATTCCACAATAGTCCCGGTTGCAATAAAAACCGGGGCTAAAGACGGTTAAAAAGGGTAACGGACATATTTGATCTTTAGTCCCGGTTCAAATGCTGTCAGGGCCTGTCAGGCCCCCCCGGGATCTTTAGTCCCGGTTGGTAACTTTAGTCCCGGTTGGTGTTACCAACCGGGGCTAAAGATCCCCAACCGGGACTAAAGATCCCGGGGATCTTTAGCCCCGGTTGGTAACACCAACTGGGACTAAAGTCCCATCCCTATATATATGTCTTCTTCCTCCTCCAGTTGCCCGAGCAAGCTACAAAATTTCTTCTAAAAAGAGGGGAGGTCATGCCAAAATTTCTAGTGAATTTATTTTGGTGATTATATACAAATCGGAGGTGCCTAAAAGGTTAGCAACTTCATCCTCCAATGTTTTTTTTGTCATATTACATTTGGAGCTATGTTTTGCACACTTTTTTGTCTCCAAAATTTAGTTGTAAGTTGATGAGAGAGAAAATTTGTGTGGGGAAGAAAGAATATATAGAAATTTAGTTTATTTGCTAAAGAAGGTTTTATAAAATAGTTGAGAAGGAAAATATAGTGAAAGTTAATCTTAAATAATAGAAAACAAACTAAAATGAAAATTAAAAGAAGTAAAACACATTAATATTAGTTTAAAACTTTAGAAATAGTAAATAAGAATTATTTGGTGTAATATTTTATAATTTTTGTATGAATAATGATATGTCATTATTGTATGACTGTTGAAAGAGTTTGTAATTATTTTATAATTATTGTATGACTGTCATTATTGTAAGAATAATTATTTGTGTACGATTTTTTTTCATGTCATGTAGATGGATCGGCAATGGATGTACGTTGACCGGCAGTCCAAAGAGTTTATTGACGGCGTGCATTATTTTTTGAGAGTGGCCGAAGCTAACAGGCATAAGGGTTTTATTTGTTGTCCATGCAATAAGTGCAAGAATCAGAAGGAGTATTCTGCATCCAGGACTATTCATTTCCACTTGTTTGAGTCGGGGTTCATGCCAAGCTATAATTGTTGGACAGCCCACGGAGAGCAAGGTGTTGAAATGGAACAAGATGAAGTGGAAGACGACAATATTCCGAACTTTGCTCAGTACGTTGGATTTGAAGGAAATCAAACGGGCGAGGAGGAAAGGGATGCTGATGGTAACGACGTTGCGGATGATCTTGGTCAGATATTGCAGGATGCCAAGGAGGACTGCGAAAGTGAAAAGGGGGCCCATAAATTGGACAAGATGTTAGAGGACCACAGAACATCGTTGTACCCAGGTTGCGAGCAGGGGCAAAAAAAAGTTGGATACCACTCTGGAGTTCTTGCAATGGAAGGCAAAAAATGGTGTTAGTGACAAGGCATTTGGCGATTTATTGAAACTCGTCAAGAACATTCTTCCGGAGGGAAACAAATTGCCCGAGACAACGTACGAGGCTAAGAAGATAGTCTGCCCTCTAGGACTGGAAGTTCAGAAGATTCACGCATGTCCGAATAATTGTATCCTATATCGCGGTGAGGAGTATGAGAACCTAGAAACATGCCCTGTTTGCAAAGCACTACGATAAACGATTAGACGAGATGATCCAGGAGAAGTTGACGGGCAGCTAACAAAGAAGAGAATTCCTGCTAAGGTGATGTGGTATTTCCCTATAATACCACGGCTAAGGCGTTTGTTCAGGAACAAGTGGAATGCTAGAATGATGCGATAGCACGCTGAAGAGCGTCAACAGGACGGGATGCTGAGACACTCCGCCGATGGTTCGCAGTGGCGAAACATCGACAGAAAATTTAAAGACTTTAGAAAGGACGCATGAAACATACGGTTTGGTTTGAGTACGGATGGCATGAATCCTTTTGGAGAGATGAGCAGCGGCCATAGCACTTGGCCCGTTATGATGTGTATCTACAACCTCCCCCCTGGCTATGCATGAAGAGGAAGTACATAATGATGCGGATTATTATTCAAGGCCCCAAGCAACCTGGTAACGACATCGATGTGTACCTAAGACCACTGGTCGAAGATCTTAAAGTGTTGTGGAAGAAGGAAGGTGTCCCCGTGTGGGACGAGGACAAACATGAGGAGTTTAACCTATGAGCGCTGCTGTTCGTAACCATTAACGATTGGCCTGCACTTAGCAAGCTATCCGGACAGTCCAACAAGGGGTACAAGGCTTGCACTCACTGTATGGATGAAACAGAAAGTACGTATCTTAAGCACTGTAGGAAGGTTGTGTACATGGGTCATCGTCGATTCCGTGCAGCAAACCACCCGGTACGGAAGAAAGGCAAGCACTTTGAACATAAGGCGGACCACCGTACGAAACCTAAACATCACACCGTAAGAGGCCTGGAAGTCAGCCTATAGAGAGCGAAGATGGTCACGCGGCGATGTGGAAAAAGAACTCTAAATTTTGGGAGTTACCCTATTGGGAATTCTTGGACGTCCG